TTTTAATGTAGCGCCACCTACATTGATTTCAATTTGTAAATATCATCTTAAAAAACAACATACCGGTCGAACGTATAACATCCTCCTTTTTTGAAGTCGGTTAAAAATTTATTTACACTACAAAAGAACACATACTTACACATAAGTATTACATATGTACCTATGTATAAGTATGTGTGTAACGTGCATCACGCTACTTAGTCTTAAATAGATATTCAACCAAGATTGAGACGAAGAAAAACTCTCGGAAATAGATAAAGATTATACAATAAGTAGTTTTCAGTTTATTACATCGATCCTGAATATTCTCTATCTAGATTTAAAATAAGTTTAGTACCTACCTGCATTCATTGTCTTTGACGAAGGAAAGACATATCAAGTTTGGTATGTTAACTAATTAAGAAAATCTCTCTATTTATAGCGATATCATCTTAGTGGAAAAAATGTGTAATGATTGCTCGAGCGGCATTTATGTATTATTAAACAGAAACTGTCATACGATCGACGATGTCATTCTAATTAGATATTACCGAGTAACCAAAGTCACGGTTTGTTGGTAAACTATTAACCTTACATATGAATTTCACAATAATTTTACATCATAAGGCATTTAACGGCACTCATGTACCTGCAATTCTTTATTTCTTTTTTGAATTTTGAGCGGGTGTTGCACGTTTAATTAAGATTAATTTAATTTGTTAGTAAATGTGTAAAAAGTTTCTAATGCTGGTTATATGAAGCCTGATAGATTCATATTTTGATTGATAACTTTAATTTTTTTATAATAATACTAATAAAGTTTATTTATTCAGATAACTGAGATCCATCAAAATAATAGTAAAGAAAGAACACAATATATAACTATACTTAGGTAGATACAATATTAATAGCTTACACCTGTTTACCGAAAACCAAATCTTTCTATCTTTTCAGATTACCTAATTATTACTTACGTAGAACTTTTCAAATCTTTACAAACATTTTAAAACAAATCAATAACGACATTATCATAAAATGTACGTTTAACAAAATTGAATCAATAGGTACTTGCCAAATTCCGTAGAAAGTAAAATAAAAAACATTAATTTTCCGCACTTCATTACACACATTATCACATTCACAACACAATTGAGAAAAAAAATGACTTCATAGAATATTCCTTTTTTGTAATTAAAAAAAAAGAATTTAAAAATGGAACGCAATGCGCGCGCTGCAGTGCGGCGCTATGGACGGCGGGCGACGCGAAAACGAAATCTACACGCAGAGAAAAGTAAAATGAGTCCCACCTCTTGAGTCTTGATTGCATTTTACGGTCGACAGCTTGTCAACACAATACAAAATACAAAACACTAATAACTACATTATTTAAAATGTGTATTTACCTAGACACGTCCCTACATAACATTAAACCATGTGTTATCTATGTCTGCCCTGAGAATAAATAGCCCTACTAAAAAAAGCCTTTACTTACATACCTAGTAAAGAAAAAATATACATTCATTTTTTTAAAGTTACTGAATAAGACATCATTAGACTTGGAACCTTGGAGTCGTTGATTTCAAACACATAGTACACAGTACACACATCAGAAAACATAAAAATTAGTAGAAGGTGCATGTTATACCTTCAGGACAGGCAGGTACATACAGATTTTACAAACCCATACATCTAGACACCTCTTCACAACATCAATGGTCACAGCTTAACCACTTATACAAACAGATAAAATTAATTTTGTATCTATAAACTCAACAGGTAACTAGGTGCCTACTTAATCATACATGCAAACAAGCTGTTAAGTGCTAAACTAATAACTGCTAATAGATAAGATAATTTATTGGCAAATATCTCAACATACTATTTACAATATGCATCAGCGTTAGTAGGCATCCTTTCTTTGTGAATACTCAAGAAATTATTAATAAATTTATCCCCGCATTATGCAAAATAGTGAAACGACAAAGTCTGAGACAATTATTTGTAATAGTGACATCTAACGATATTCTGGTGAACTATCAAACTATCAAGCAACATTCGCTACTAAGGTCACTATCGTGACGCGTTTAGTGCTCGTGTACTTATTATTTACAATATTTACTTATTGAAATTAATGCTAATATTTTATTTGAATTACATATTAGTTTAGTAGTATATGCTACACTCCATGTCCACCAAACAACTTGTTGAAAATGTTAATCCCTCTACTGTTTTGTTTGTGCAAAAGTTACTAATGTTTTGACAAAATAATTATCAGTGTATTTTTGTTTTATTTTAATAATGCAATCAATAAACATTTAAGCTGTTCGTAGATATTACATAGGTATGTATTTACATTTTTTTTTATTTATGTTCCTTATAAAGTCCTAAAATACATTTTGAGGTTATTATTTTATTTAATTTGGAAAACAATATCATTGTATTCCGCTTTTGGTTTTAAAACTATATTCAGTCAGTATCTATAAGTTTATTTAAAGTGATAGTTTACATACAGACTGAAAAGAAAGCTGCATACACGACAAAACTTTCAATGATTATCTTATCAGCTGTTGATTAAAAATAAACTTGTCAAAACAGAACAGCTGAGTGTAAGATAAAAAAAATCGAAGTGCCTACATAACGTAACTTTAATAAATTCAGATTTTATTAAATAAACACTTGATCAATAAAAGCTTTCTACTACAAATATTGATCTCTCCATAAATTGTAACAAAACAGTAGCTTAGTAGGTATAGGTAGGTCTATAGATATCATGTGATATCGTTTTATTGTATCAACTATACACATGTGTTAAAATGGACTTTACTCAATATGCAAATAGACACATGGCACATAGCACATAGGCTAACCTACCTATAAATACAACATACCTACATACATACCTAGGCAGATTATTCGAAATGTGTCTTATCTTTATGTAGATTGTAGATTGAGTCATACATTTTAGGAAATTAATATAAACAGGAGGATCATTATTATTTCCTTATTATTATTTTACCACCTATTCTTTGATTTTCTGGCTCTCACAAACTTTCTCTATCTCCCTGTCTCCCTGTGTGGAAGTGGAACTGTGCAGTATATATATATTGTACCTATAGTCTATGGAACTGTGGAATGAAAGCTAAAAGCATAGTAAGTACCTACCTACCACGACGACGAGGAGCATGTTTTAGTGTTGCCAGAACAAAAAACTTATCACATGTGATAATAATAACCGCGCGTTTTATCTTGTTGACTTTTGACTTTAAGCGGCCTTCTCTCTCGTAACGTAAATATAAAACAAATAACTACTGGACGTTAGTATGAAAACGAAACTGAAACCGGTTACACAGTTAAGGCATTGTGCAAAAAAATCGTGCACTTAGTTTTTTTTATCGCAAATCCCGAATTGTAAAACAAAAGGATTCTCCTAAATTCACTATTTTACTTTATTAGTAAGCTCTTGAATTACTTAAATACTAACAACTAACGGTTTAAACATACTCCGGGTAAGTTATTAAATACTTTGATTTTCTGAAAATCCATCCCGATATTGTGCGTATATTTCAATTTAGATTTTAATTTTCATCGTTGTATATTTTTAAAAGATTAAAATATCAGGAATTCATTAGGACAGTTAACTCATGTACACTAAATTAAAATGTTGTATTGAAGTATCAATCACACTGAGTACATAACTAAGAAGTTGTTCAGTCATTTATTTTGTAAGAATTATAATAACAAGAGATTAACTAATTAACACAGATTGGTTAAATAGTACAGCCGTGTTGGCCCAGAGTTTAAGGCGCTCGCTTCCTGTAGAAGAGTGCGGGTTCGAAACTTAGCAAGTACTAACGTGTTTTTTTTTTCTGAGTTAAGTGCTTTTTTGATATTTAGACACCACTAACATACGGTGAAAGAAAACATCATAAGAAAACGTGGATAATCCCGCCTCACCCAGGCGGGAGAAGTCATTCGATGATTTTCCAACTTAATAAAAAAAATCTTACTAATCATATTTAATAAGGTCGTTTTCCCAATAAAACGCAAACTTTTTCCAGTTGTTTTGTGTTAAATTCCATCAAAATAGGTTCACAATCCCGCAGACCGGAAACACAATATGACTACCTGCCTTGAAAAATAATACACCTTAAACTGTAGCAGACAGACTATCGAAATCTGTAATCTACTTCTTTATCTGGATGAGAATAAGAATAATAATAAACGGCATCAATAAAAATAAGTCGGTGACTCATTCATAGTAGTATACTAAACAAATGGTAAATAGTAGGTACCTACAATTAGATTGACGTATTTTTCAGACCATAATGACTCATATTGCGAGATCTTACAACGTATTACGAAATATGCAATTAAGTGAATGTGCGAGTGTTCTCTTCATTTTTAACTCAAAATAAAAACGTAGCAGCTAGCCGTTTTTAGGTAGATTTTTTTACCTGACATGCCAGGAGGTTTGAAAAGACGAAATCTTTATACATATTCATGACACTAGTTGTTGCCCACGACTTCGTTTGCGTGGAATTGTGAGTCACAGCTCCTCCCCCGTAGATAATAGCGTGATAATATCTAGCTTATAATGTTGACCCGACCTGTTAGTAATATTCATGCATAATTTGAAGTAAATCCATGCAGCACTTTTGGAGATCATACATACAGACAAAGAGACAAAAATTCTAAAAACCATATTTTGGCTTCGGTATCGATTGCACATCAGGCCTCAATTATCCTTTTTAAAAAATATTTAATGTACAGTTTTGACTTTTCTACGATTTTATTATAGGTATGTATTTAGTATAATAAAAATAATCATTATTCTAATCAATGTTATTCATTCATAGTCGTAAATATTTTACGTTTTCCTGTGTGCATCTTATGCACCAATCAAATTACCTTAGCTATCTAGTCTTATCACACCTAGAAGTGATATTATAATTATCTATAGTTGTAATATAACTACGAGTTAGACAGGTTCGTATTTTATACTGAGTCTTAATACTATCGAAATGATTTCAGCTAAGCGGCGTGGTTACTTAGATCTAGATATGGAACAAAATCACGATCCTCCAGGTCAGGCCTCTATTCTTTTTTTATCATGAATTGTGTTTTATGAACTAACTATTTGTGTTGTGATTTACCTGTGTTTCAAACTCATTTGTGTTTATAGGTGTTCGGGTATATACGTTCGTAGGTAAAGAAAACTTTATTGTGAACTTTAATTTGAATTTGGGTATCTTACTTCTTTCATCTTGCTTTTGTGCAGGAAGTTGATAAATAGAGAGCATTCGTGTGCCTTAAAATCAAAGAAATTTTCTTTATTCTTATAGAAAACTTTTAGGGGCAATTTAACCATCTCTATTTATTTACTTCTATTATCTCCTTCCTTACGTTGTAAGTTTACTGTCTGTCATTACTATTACCTTGTGACTAGTTATTTTTCGTATTTCTGCATTCTATTTGCCAATTTTATTATATTTTTTCCTATGTATCATATTTTAATTCGTAAAACTATACTCCACAGATGATGACGACAAAAAGAAAAGAGTTTATAACAGGTAAACCATGCTTTAAAGATATTTTTTTCTGAAAATAATTGGGTAATAGTAGCGTCTTATTAAAACATTGAATAATATACCTAACTTTCAGTTGGTGGGAAAAATTTTGTTTGCGATGTCATCAAGAAGACTCCACACCATCTTGGCAACCATCATGGTGGTCCAAATTCTTCCCATTTCCTTTATTTTCTACTTACAGACAGACCGCGCAACAAATATGCATCATAATGTTCTGTAAGTATTGGTTTTAGCAGTATTCTTTGTTTATTCAGCATATTACACGGAGATTACGTAACACAACTAGAGATTAGATATCTACTGGTCTACTATCTACATGGGTTCATTTATCTTAATGTAACTACATACTTACTTTCAATGCCAGCCTAAATCATGCACTCAAACCAAAGAACCTCATGATCACAAAAGAAAATATTTATATTTCAGTTGTAGTTAAACTCAATAACTATTGTAACTTTAAATAAACACATCTGCTCTAATACAACAGTGTCATCTGTTTGGCTTCTGAATTAGTGCCCTTCCTACAACTAATACGGTACCTATTGACCGTGTATTCTAAGATTTGTTGCTATATGCAACTTAGTGTAATATAGGTATTTACTTTACAAGAAATACTTCGTGCTACTGGATTTGTTTAAACTACGTCTCAGTCTACGTAAAAGAATAAAAAAGAAATTGCAAAACCAAAACTAATAAGTCTGTTGTCTTTTCAGTTTTACTCACATGGGGCGTACTATATTCAGAGATCGGAGAATCAGTAGGTTTACAAGGCGAATTATTTAGCATGTCAGTACTAGTAATTTCTGCGTACTTAATAGGTTGGATATGGTTAAAAGTCACTACATTGCCAGCACTTATAGGCATGCTTCTAACTGGGATAGCATTCCAAAACCTTCAGTTGGTCCATATGACGGACTCTTATAGAAAATTAAATCAAGATCTAAGGTAAATCAAATTCTTGGTGCCATTTTACTGTGAAGTAACGAGATTCACCTGTGCTTTAATATGTCTTCAACTTTCACAGAAAAATAGCACTGGTGATTATCCTAACACGAGCTGGTCTTGGTCTAAACGCAGGTGTTTTAAGGAAACACTACGCTGCTGTTCTACAACTGGGTCTTTTACCATGGCTGGTTGAATGTGTGGCTATTGCTATCAGTTCACATTATCTCCTATATTTACCTTGGATATGGGGTGAGTAGCAATTAATTGCGCTTAAAATCACATAATTAAAAACCCATGCTGTAGTTGATTGAATTCTAAACATTTTTTCTTGTAGGTTTTCTTCTAGGATCAATGATAGCTTCAGTATCACCAGCAGTAGTAGTTCCCTGTCTATTTAGGTTACGTGACGTTGGATATGGAGTGGCTAAAGGTATTCCAACAATCGTAGTGGCTGCAGCTGCGGTAGACGACTCCATTAGCGTTGCAATCTTCGCCATCATTCTAAATGCAATGTTCTCAACTGGATCTGCTACTTTCAATATTATCAAGGCAAGTTATAAAGTTGACAATAACCTAAACACTATGGACCTAAATATATTATTATCATGTCGTATTATATAAAACAGTTAAGTCTTTTATTTCTAGGGTCCACTATCCATTGTTGCTGGTGTTGTTCTCGGATCACTTTGGGGAGCTCTGCTGTCAGTTATGCCTGAAAGAGGCGACTCCTATGTAGTACCTTTAAGATTCTTGGGCCTATTTCTCGGAGGCCTATTCTCTCTGTTCATATCGAGTATGATTGGTTGGAGTGGTGCAGGTATTAATTATTAATTATCAACTGATAAGTGTTGAATTGCTGTTTCTTTTATTCTGGCGGGAAACTAAATGCATGTATCATAATTTCAGGCCCTCTTGCTATCGTATCTTCAGGATTTGTAGCCGCATATTTCTGGGAAAAACAAGGCTGGGTCGTAAACAAAAACCCAGTCAGCAATGTATTTAGAATCCTATGGATATTCTTCGAGCCTATATTATTTGCGTTTACAGGAGCTCAGGTTACGGTAAGCTATTTCACAAAAGTAATAGTATGTTTTCAAATAGGCTAGTGATACTTATCAGATTCGGATTTTGTTTTTATTTACAGATTAGCGCTTTAGACCCACAAGTTATAAAAATGGCCACAATATGCCTTCTTGGCTGCTTAGTTATTCGTGCTATTGCAACATTTTTCGTAAGCTTTGGATGCGGCCTTAATAGCAAAGAGAAAATATTCATCGGTCTCACATGGACAGCCAAAGCTACTGTACAGGTATGTAGAAGTATCTGAGTACCAAGCACGAATAACTATCGCAATCGTAACGTAATAGTATCGAGTGCGTTCAGCGCTCTGATTGGCCGGCTCCAGTAAACCAACCAATAAGAGCGCCTAACGCGCTCGATACTATTACGTTACGATTGCGATAGTTATTCGTGCTTGGTACTCAGTATGCTATTTACTTATATAAGTATGAGTTTACAAAAAGAAATATAATTAATATTTACAGGCAGCATTAGGACCAGCTGCTTTAGACTTGGTAAATAGTGGCCAAACATCAGGTGTTGCTAAAGCAGACGAAGAATACTACGCAAAGGCTATTTTAGCTGTCAGTGTTCTAAGTGTAATGATATCGGCTCCTCTAGGCGCATTACTTATTGCTGTAGCTGGGCCCAAACTGCTTTCAAAAGACGACCGTAAGTAGATATTAATGTTTCACAATTTTTTACAGAATAAAGTTAAAAATAATAAGGTTGACATAATTATTATCTTACAGCTGACGAGACTCCAGAACAAAACACAGAAAATCAACAAGTTACTCAAATATGACGGTAGTCGGTTCTACTTATCAGAATCTAATAATGTCTAATAAAGTGTAAAGTGCCTGTTACAATATTTTGTACACATTTTGTGCTTTAAGTTAGCACTCTAAATTAAGTTACTTAAAGGGCCTTCGTGCTCTTGTAGGTATTTTACATACATTTACAAAAAAAATAACCGCCGTCGAGAGTATACCTCATAGTACATAAGTATATTGTAATTTATAAATTACATATAATGAATTTTTGAATCTATACCAGTAATAGTACTTATCCAACTAAGTACTTAATCGAATATTTTTAATAATTTTTATTGTTAGTATTGTTAACTATTTTTTGACATAAATGTTATATTTCATCGGGTCAGTTATTGTGCCTTTTAGATTTAAAATACAATTACAATGTTAAGAAACTAATTTGTATTATTTTAAAAATAATCCTAAAAAGTAATGGAAGGAGGAGAAAATACTATATGAATAGTAAGTATGCTTGTTGATAAAATCTGGTTCTACATTCTAATTTTAAACGTATTTATTTTGACTAATTAATTGTTATCCTTTTTTCCCACTAATATTAAGATGATTAATGAGGATGTTTTAAAAATCGATATGGTAACATTTTGTCTGTCAAGGTCAATGTATGATTGAATTGTCAAAAAAGTTCAAAACTTCAAAAAGTTATTGAACTTTTATGAGCGATATAGTATTTATGTTCTATGTTTACGAGTCTTGTAAGTAAACAGCGAGCTAAAGCTATTGAAAAAGGTATAAAACTAAAAATAAATCATGTCTGTTGTGGTAATTGCTGTAGCTACTGAAAGTGGGGTGCCAATATTTTCAAGGAAACGCGGTAATAATGAGAGTGTGAGTATTGTTTACCTATCTACTTAAAAATTATAATTAAATTAATTTTATTCCAGTACTTATAACTGCCAATTAGAATAACAATGTAATCTATAATTCTATACTAATATTGTAAAGAAGATCTAATATTTTAATATATTTTTCTCATATCATTTAATATTACTGATTTATGTGTTAGTTATCAAAGTCAACCCTACAAACTCTTCTAATGATTTATTGTTGCTTATCATAATTTCTACTCTATAGTTCCACGGTTGACATCGTAAGATATGTACCTACAAACATACATACAAAATTAATATCTATTGTAAATATTCAGATACAATTCTCCACCATAGCATCACTCCATGGCATCAACATGTTCAGTAAATGTCACAATTTATCCATGCTTAACACACAAGTTGACAATGGAACTATTCTCTGGAAAGAATATTGTAAAAGGTATGCATCACTAATAAATAATATTTTGTGTAAAGGTAATGTGGTCAATCAGTAGCATTGCAAAGTCCAAGTTAAATCATTTAAGTATTTAAATTGGACTCTACACAAAATAACATATACCATCACACCTTTTATTCCCGAAGGGGTAGGCAGAGGTGCACATTATGCCACTGTCGATGTAACACTCACTTTTCACTATTTATGTTATGAGTCCCATGTAATAGGGGGTGAGCCTATTGCCATATACCAGGCACAATTCCAGACTCTGTGCTACTACTGAGAATTTTTTTAAAACCCAGTAATCTTTGCCCGATCCTCGAATCGAACCCGACACCCCTTGCCCGGCAGTCACACTTGTGACCACTCGGCCAATGAAGCAATCCTCTGGCAGAACTACACAAAATATTTAAATAAAAAAGTGTATTATATCAATGTGATTGTTGGACAGTTGCATGTCTAGTATTCTTATTGGTAATAAACCGCACCAAGAAGGCACCAAGAGGAAGCATGTTTATGCTTATGCTCGGAAGAATGATGAAGTTAATGAAGTTTTTTGATCAGTCATTTTTACAGCACAGTAACAATATAACTTAACTATTTTTTTTTTTCAGTGTAACCTTAATAGGCATAGCAACAGGAGGATTGGAATGTGACCTAGAACTTCTACTGTCCTGTGTTCACGATGCTATGGTCTTCTGCATAGGGAAGAAAGAACTGGAAACTTTGAAGAACATTGACCAGATTAAAAGGGACTTGAGGCAGTGTTATCCTATCTTGGACTATTTGCTGGAGTCTTTAGATCCTAATGCATTATCGAGTCCGCTTCCAACATTAGTTCTGGATTTGATACAAAGCATTTTATGCCCACAGGCTCAGCAGTTGCAGGTTTGTATTTTTAACCAACTTACATAATCGAGGGTCTTCTCTATTTTTACTTTTGTATGCTAACAACTTTATAATAAGTATTATTAGCTCCTAAAATTACATTAGAACCTACCGGACCCTATTGAGTATAAGTAATAATTTCTGAAGACAATTCTAGATAACTGTTTAGACTTATAATGAAGATAAAATAAAAAAAAATAACTTTTATTTCAGCAAGCGCTAGACAACTATGCAGAAAGTGTGACAGGCAGATGGGCTTGTCTTATAATCCATGGACATCTAGTCGCCACCAGTTCAGATTTCTATGAACTTGATCCTCGAGAAGCCAGACTCATGTTGTTGCTAGCATCTGCACAAGATGGTGCACCGTTACGAGACACTCCTGTGTATTTACCACAAATGAGTCCTAATGTTAGTATTTTACACTCATAGCCGCGGAAGACTTAACGGGTTGCCGGGGCTCCGGTTCGAAGTGCAGGTGTAGGAATGGGGTGGTTTTTAGTCAGTAAGAGTCCGACACTCCCTCCCGCCTCACCCAGGCGGGAGAAGTCATTGGATGATTTTCCCCCCTCAAAAAAAAAAAAGGATTTTACACTCATGACTAAAATTAAAAAAAAAGACTTATTAAAAAGTAATTTTATATGGATAAAGTAAGAGAGTGAACTCGCATCATCCAATGAGAAGGAAAAGAATTTTGTTGACATTAGGAATTACGAAAAGCAGTGATTCTTTTTTTAATTATTTATCTTATTTGACTAATTAACTACTTTACATTGACTGGGGTGTCGAGATAAAGCAGTTGAAGTTTGTTTCTATAAATAAAAAAATAAGTATATCTAAAAAAAATATTAATTTCCAGGTAGCGTTCAGAGCAGTGACATGTAAACTTCTTGCAGATGTTTACATTCTGGTCGTATGTGGAGCAACCCCGGCGTTGTCACAGATTGATGAAATAGTTCTTCAATGCTGGGAAGGTTATGCATCAATTATAAAAGAGGCAAAACTTGTTCACCCTCGGAACTTTCCTATGAGCTTGACATTTGAACCATGTGTTTTAGGGTGAGTTGGGTTTCAATAACTAGATTTCTTGGATAGAAAATGTCACATCCATTCTTCTGGGATAAGTCACTGCTGCAACTTTTGTAAGCCAGGATCTAGTCTAGGTCTATAGTAAATACAGCCAAGAAAACACTGAAACACTGAAGTGTGTCCCAGGGGCCAGGACATGAAAACTTATTATACTCTTTTCCATGGATAAATCAGAAGATTACTTTCATTCATAACTGACGAAGAAAATGAATAATGTATTTTCCTATTCGCCAGTTAAGTCAGAGTCCCATATTAGGCGAGCCTGTTGGCGTCCGTCAGGCACTGCTCTATTAGTGGTATTACTGAAAATTGCAAAATCTGAAAATCTCTCCTCAACTCAGGAATCGAACTTAAGACCTTTGCTCTGAAGTCTCACTTGCAAGTTGCAACTACTCTACCGACGTCATCTTGCCACCTATAACACAATGTTTTTTATTTCATTTTCAGATTACTTATAATAAACATAAATAAGCGTCGTTGTGTATTTTCACGTCATTTGCATCTATCCAGCCAAAAAGGTAGAGGAATGTCAGGGGCACACAGAATGGACATCCTACGAACATTTTATGTAACATCTGCGAGAGATTTGGCACCAGAATTAAAACTGAAAGATGGAAATCATAAAGGTATGCTTCTTTCTTGCTGTATATGACTTGAATTTAATGAAGCTAAAGGAGTATACAAGGATTGTAGTAGGTAAATCTCCATAGTTTCTCCAAGGATTGTTTGTGGATCCCACAAACTATTGTTTTTTTGTGTGGAAACTGAGCCCTGCACTGCAGCTAGTTGCTCAGCCTTTGCATTAACCATGCAAAGAGTTAATCCAATAAGGCTTTTATTTTCAATTAAAAATAATTTTAATTTCAGAAGTAAATGACGAGATTGGCAATATGTGCGAAACTTACTGGTGTTCTGAATACCACAAATGTCATGCACAAAGATCAGGAAATATTCTGTGCTGCGCGCTATATGCATCGACAGTGCAACTGCACACTATCAGGTGATATTTTTATTTTGATTTCATATTTTGTATTGGAATATATCAATCTATTAGTAAGTGTTATCTAGATAACTAATTTATTATTCAGGGATAGATAGATGTTATATCATGTCCCCAAATATAAATAATACTTTACCTGTTTCAGATTAATAACAAGTCAAATACTCCAAGATTTAAGTACCAATAAAGATGTTTACTGGTGAAGATATATTAGATATTTTATGAATGAATAAGACTGAACCTACGTACATGACATAAGATCTGATTATTAATGATACCATACCATAATATTTTGGAATCATTGGTGCTTTTGTTTAAGAATAATAATGTCTAGTTGATTACGTAGAAAAATAAACATATGTGGAGAAATCTGGGTATTTTATATAAGATACAGGGTAAAAGAAAAAATGAAAATCAATTTTTTACTTTCAATTTAATACCAGGACATTAAAACTATTACAGTACTATGCTGATGGTACTAAATGATATAAATTCTTATTCAAGTCTCTAAAAAGGCAATGTATTTATCACTGAATATAACTCTTTGTCTAAGCATAAAACTGTTTCAATTTAAAATCCCGTTCGTCACCATTGTCTTCAAAATAATACCAATTTGTCGCAACAAAATGAGGAATGCTATAAAAACTATATTTACAACTCATTTCGTTACTACTTGGGTAAAATTTGGTGCTCATAAACGGAATCTTATACCCGAATTCTAAAAAGCTACTCAATTTTAAGTTGTTCTTCAATATATCTCCATCTCTATCATTTTACATAGAATTTGTGACAGAACTATACTCGGCGCGTCTTAGAATTGAGTGGCGTTTGAGTATTTCGATAATAGTTTTACATTTCAACCACACATACCAAATTCATGATTTTAAAATTGACTATTACAAAATACAGATTTATCAATGCCATGACTAAAATACAAATGATTTGACTATGATATTATCTTATTAATTATTGCTTCGTGGTTTTGTAAGGGAATTGGGGCAGGTTCTATGAATTCTATATTCACAAATATATAATGTAAACAACACATATCTGTTAACAACTCTTATATAAAAATATTCAGTAACATTGTATAATTATTACTTTATAAGTTCATGCGAGTTTTATTACTATGCCACACTATTATTTTGTCCAAAGTAGGTAAATAGCTTTCATTATAACCATTAAATAAAATTGACTGGTGAACACTATAATTAATTTGGCTCAAGCTAAAAATTGTAATGGCAACATGCAATTTAGCTATTTAACATCGAGATCAATTAAAATTACACACGAAAATACCAAAATAGTAAAATAACTCATTGTTGTCTAGAATAATCTTAAAGATATAAAATAAGACTGTGACATAAAATCAATTGCATAACATATCCATGACGACATTCGTTATATTTAAAACATGGAATGGTCATTATGTATTATAATTTAAAAGCCAAGCGCATATGGTGTGCTAAATAAATATGTAAGATAGTAGAACTGATATTTGACTATTACTCAGTAACGATCACAGTATGAGCTAACGGAACAACCATAAACGTTAATGAGCCATAACAATATTAAATTGTAAGAAAATATCGTCTACATAAAACATGCATACATGCTTTTTCTATGGCAATATTAGTCGAGTATTTCATCCAAAAGGGACAAATTTGGTAATGCATTTTTCAAGTAATTATCAAGTGACCCAATAAAATACCACACATGCTTTGAAAAAGAGACATAATAATCTACCTACATTGCTTCGTAAAATTCTCAAAGCCGTTCATACTTTAAAGAAAATTAATAAATAAAAATAATTGGCGAATATCAAAGACGAAAAATGTCTTTCACGAATTGTGATATCAAATTCTGGTGACTATCCGATTTGCAAACAACGCCGGTTATTATGCGACACCAAAATATAGGCGGGAATAATATTTCAAATTTGAATTTCTAGTGTGTATAAGCTACATCACTGCATGTTTGTATTATCAAGTTCATGATTGCACTTTAATTTTAAAAGTTATGCCATCCTGCTTAGTGTACCATATCCCTATAGTTAAACGAAGGGACAAGAAGACCTGAGATATGTAGAACACTCTGACTGAGGGTTGAATCTGCGAAACTCAATAAGATTAGGTATGAGCTAAAATATCGAGGCATATAATTAAGTGGTAATCAGTGCAATAAACTTTACAAACATGTAGTGAGGCAGCTTATTCAAATAAACACTATTTAAAACTATTTAGCAATCTACTCTGAGGCTGTTTTATTTTGCATTTTAACTGTTGTATCAAGTCAAATATTTTTAATGAAGGGCCTACTTTCATTTCTAATAGTTCGATGATTTCGTCTTTTGTTAGTTGTAGCATCATTGGGCCAGTTATATTGGTGAAATTGATGCAGTAAGGTTGGCAGTCATTGACTGTGAGGAATTTGGCAACATCAGCTGTGCTCCAATGTTCTGGGTCGACGGAGGTTAGGACATCTAAGGGCACTGAGGTATTGACTAGTCTAGGTATCACCTTGTCACTGTCCGTATCTTCCGTGGAAACAGCTGGGGACAGTTGTGCTATGTTTGGAATTGAATTTGAATCTTGTGATATGTCTGTTGGTGTGTGTTGTGATATATCCGTAGGTGTTGCTGGGGATTTGTCTGTAGGTGTATTCTGAAATTTAAGAGTACAATTATTAAATACATTAACAAGAATTGGACAACAACAACTTTATTGTACTATGTGTATCTATTGAGCTTGTTTAACTAAGTCTAAACGAGTGACAGTGTCACATCAAGGCGTCGCAACTAGAACACCTCAATGTGTGCATGACTATTTAAATATAAATTCGTCTCAACACGATGTAAATCTCCCTACCTAATTGGACCACTGTAATAACGTTCCTGCAAAGATTAGTACTGATTACTTACCGGACTATCTACTTTCATATCGGCAAGGGCTTCTTCAGGCTGTTCGATACTATCCTTAGATTCAATGTCCAAATCCACTTCCATTTTCGTGGGTGTGGAGACGGTTTCAAGCCGAGGTTCCGTATCAGGTGATACTTCTGATACGCTTGTAGGAGGAGAAAGACTCTTGGTATCACCCATGTCGGAATTCTGTGAGCTATCTTCTGTTGTATTCGGTGGTTGAGCTGCTGATTTTAAACCTGAAAGTATAATGCAAAGTAAATTAATAATTAAATTTTTAATTATATTTTATGGAATAGGAGGAGGAGATGGATCACCGAATGGTAACCGATCAGCGCCGCCCATAGACACCCGCAACACCAGAGGAGTTACAGGGCGTTGCCGGTCTTTTAAAAAGGAATACGCTCCTTTCTTGAAGGTTGTATCGGTTTATCACAAAGTTTAACAAGGATTAATGAACTTATAAAAAGCTAGGGAAGCCTATCTAAATAATATCATTTTGATGTATATACTAACAAGTACGATATGAAAACTTAAGATATATGTAAGTTTCTGTATAGCCCCATAGGACATAGTGAATGAAACCTCATGTCTAGAAAAAATTGGCTGGTGACAATATATCTTCTTGCATTAATCTGTCAAACACCAAGCGGTCACCGGTGACCGCGACCTATTGTTCTTTGTGTCTATAAAACCGGTACTCGACGAGTTAAGCGCGACGTCGCCGCGACCGCGCACGCTGCTCATGAGGAGGAACCCCTCTGTGGTTCGAAACTAGTAGAGCTTTTCTCAGTATATTCACGTGAGTAACCCGCGTTTTTACTTAATTTAGTATATCTCACGATGGTTATTATAAAAACATCTTCTTGAATGTTAGACCGCATTACCTTGTTGTTTACGCCTTCGTCTCGGTTGTTTTGGAGGATGCTTGCGCGGGGGGCGGGGCGGCGGTTGAAGCGGACCTTCGAGCCTATGACCCACCGCGCGGCACCAACCCACGGGGTACACGTCCGTACTGTGCGCCCATAACCATTGGTCGTACTCCATGCCCCAACCGTCGAAGTGAACCTGCAACAATATCCATTAATAACTGTTCCGATTGTATACAAATATGAAGAATCGTTACTTAGAAAGTGTCTTGGTGAAATATCGTCTTTTTTTTAGTTCTTGTCGATGTACAAACTCTTATGTACGAATTATTTTTAACCCATCTATCGGTCTTATTGGAATACGAAGGTAGGTGAAATCGACATCCTTACTAATATTATAAATCGGAAAGTGAGTTTGTTTGTTCCGCTTTCACGCCGTAACTACTTAACCAATTAAGAAGCCGCGGGTAAAAGCTAGTCTTATATAACTGTTATTTTCGTTCCTCCAAAAACAGGCACATTGACTATGACGTTATTTTTAACTTAAATCAGGTTCAAAGTTACAACAATAAGTTCAGTATAATTAACATCAAATCGTTATAAAACGGGTTCTTGAAAATAAAATAGGTAAAAATTTCGGTAAAAAGGTACCTTGAGTAAATCAGCAACAACTCTAGCAACAGTAGCAACGCAGACTAGTCGTGGGTCCATGAGATCCGCGCACTCCAATCTCATGCCGGCCACGAACCCGTGTGATACCACGTGACCTCTCGCCGCGAACAACGAACGATCGGCTGGCTGTCCACCAGAAACCGCCAAGTATTGCTCCCAACTGAACTCCTCCACTGTAATCCTGGTTGCATAAATAAGCAGTCCTTTAATACCTCTTTGCAGAGATAAAATTGCTATACACCGTCACTGAGTACCTGTCCTGTGCTTATTAACTAACTACTTACTTAGAATTTCGAAAATACTAGAAACTGTCGGAAAACCAATCCAAGATCTTTACTCAGTAGTTACACCTCTCATCTGGGCTTTACTCTTGAAACTAATCACAATAAAAATGTAATAAATATTTAATGTCAACAATACCCCAATCGTAGCTTGTAAAATAGCATCTAAAGTACCTTTAAAGCCAAACTCAATACCGTTCAGTTCATCGAGATTAAACTCCACGCAATATGGATGCGATGGGCATAGTGTTGCAACTGAAGAGTACGAAATGTCACAATACCAATGGTAATTGATCGTAATTGGATTCAAGAGTATTGTTGTTGTGTTGAACTACTCACTTGATCAACTTATATGTTGAAGTTGATGTGAGACAAATTTTATTTTGGGTCCAATTTTAAACCAATCAGTGTTAAACAAACATGTAACAAAGAGAACTCACCCAGCAGGAGGTACAAGAGGTATATTATTAGCCTGCGCAAAACCAACAGGGAATATACACGGCGATCTTTGATGATAGCAGAACCAATCCGCACCAGACGCATCTGCAGGGTAACAGTCTATTCTGATCATCATATACCCTTCATTCAGTATCTGCATCACAGTCGCAGCACAAACAGCTGATAAATTAAGAGGATCAATGGCTTCTAACTTCATTCCTTGCGCAAATAAGGGCGGCTCATTACTTGGGTACTTATAAAACATGTCTGGTGTACTATCAGTTGGTGTAAGCCGACCAGCAGCTACTCTTTGTAAATAACTAGGAGGCGCGTCTAAAGGATGTCCAATTCTGAAGGCCCAGCCTACAGGATGTATTAGTGGAGAGTCCTCGTGACACCAGAAACCATTGTCCTCTGGTGTACTATCGTAATATTTTACGTGTAATCGTTTGCCTACTATTTCACATACTGTAGCTACCTGTAATTAGAAATTGTCATATTAAATACAACAGAAGAAAATCTGATAAAACTGCTTTTAACAAAAGAAGTTTTCGTAAATCTTACCTTGACTTGTGAAATTCTATTCTTATCAACAATTTCCATAAGGACACCAATAGAAAACCTAGATGCGAGACTATCATTTAATTTTGTGTAGAAATTCGCGGGTAGAGTTCGAGCGCCAGTTAGCTGCTTTACAAGAAATCTGAAAATAGAAAAAGTATTTTATGTATTTTACATACACCAAGCACCATTCTAACACTACCACTGAGAAATTCTAAAACCAAAAATATCAAATAAGATTTTAGTATCGTGATATCAGGTCTCAGCCTCAGGATATCAGTGACATCACTCTTTTAGCTACAAGATGCAGAAAAAAGAAGTATTTAAACTCTTTTGATCTGTACTCCTGTTGTGTTTTCGTGCATCATGCTTGATGCCACATAAATAGTTTTCTTTTCTCTTTCTTTCGAACAGACTTACCAAATTATTGTTAAAAACTTACTTTTTCCAATCAGTATATTTATCTTCAATACTACGAGGTGGTATTAGAGGCTTTCCCCTAGTTGCACACCAGCCAACAGGGTGCACTTCTGAGCAACAAAGATTCACCCAAAAATCTTTAGAATCATCACTGCCAAAACCTTCATAGCGTAGAAGACCCATATATCCTTTTACCTGCAAATTAGATTTAAATGAGACATTTCATATTACACTTTATTGACAAGTTCTATAATAAGTACATAAGGATTAAAACCTCCTTAAACTGTCAAATACCGTGAGCACACCGGTGACGGCACACCTATTGTTTTTTAACCCTTTAAGTACTGTCATTATAGACACAATTAAAGAACAATAGGTGTGCGGACACCAGTGTCCTCGCGGTGTTTGACAGTTTTTATTATGTCTATAATGACAGTACTCAATGGGTTAAGTAGGTAATAAACTACTGAACTAAATATAGGTTTAGCCATCTACAGCTATCAGTGAGCTATCAATAGTTTCAAATTTATGTCTGTGACTGCTATGATGATATTTATTATTGGAATAAAAGAATATAACATTATATCTTCAGTAATCCAATCCAAAACAACTATACATACGGTTGGTGCTGTTGGTTGTGTCATGTGTATGTGAATTTGTATGTTTATAAATGCAACCAAGACATAGGAGAAAATACTAGTGTAGGGCAACATTTGTGAAAAAATCTTAAAAAATACTTACTTTTAATACTGTAGCTACCCAGAAATAGTCACTAAGTTTGTCCGAATAATTTTCGCAGTCTGTATTTTTTACTTCTACTTTCATACCCTCAAAGGTGCTGTCCCACATTTCATGTAAGGGAGCATGCTTGAATAAACTCACTGGAGCAGCAAGGAAATCACAACCAAATAATTCATCCTTCCATTCATAACTGTTTGCTACTAAAGCAGCTGATTGTTTTATTGGTCCAGCCTATAACAAACCACAATTAACACACACATATAAAAAATATATGTAAAATTACAGTTGTAAACAATATTTTCACAGGCAGCACAAACAAATGTAGCAATTTATACACACGAATCATCTACCTACATTTAAATAATGCGATTACAGGGTAAATGTACTCTAATATGAACTTGAACGGTTAGTAAACATAGCTGTTAGAGGTTATTATTATTGGAAAATATGAATGTTAAGTGAGGTACCTGTAAATCATTTATTGTAGACTGCCAGTGCTGCAGCTGTGGCAGTGGCTCCAACGGTATCATACCCGCCATGTGTTCGGCACCTTCCATCAGTCTGAACCTCCAATTACAATGTCGTCTTCTAGTATTACTCGCGTGACATCTAAGCGAACAAAACTTATTGTTTCTTGGGTAGAATTGTCCCCGACGGCCAACGCGACCGCACAATTCGCATATTGCTGTAATAATAACGCTAAATAATAATCTTTATATTCTATGCTTTCATTATCAGCACAAATACTCACCGAAACTATCTTTTTCTAAAGGTATTATAGTAAGATCGTCTGTACTATTTGTATCTTCAAGTTGCTCAGGTGGGTTAGCTACAGCTACAACATTACCGGCATTGTAATAAGCCATATTTCAAATGAAGACACGTTAGAACTCTCGAGTGAAGAAGCCGTAAACACTTCTATACACATGACTAAAATGACACTAGCAGTTGTATTTCTTATAAAAAATGACTCCTAACCCAATTTATGCAAATAATATGAATTAACTAAACTTTGTTGTTACTTTTCACGTACTTTACAAAATATAAAATTCGTTTCACATTCACAACATTGAAGTAATTTGCCTTTCTTGCTGTTGAGCAGTTGTGCTTGATTCTTGAATGATTGAATGAATATTCTGTTTGTTATCAGTTTAATATTTATTTTATTATGATTGGCTAGACCAATAATAATAGCCAATCATATCCTTCAGCATTCTTTTCAGCGTGTAAAATTCTTTACTGGTTCTGGTGATTGCTTATTATTTTATCTGTTTACGATTTACTTCTATACTTTATGGTTCAAGTACCACAGACAAAATAGTTTGTAAAAATGTTTATGTTATGGCAATAGAATCTTATTCGATTAAAATTACTCTTGAACTGACGCGTCTGATCTTTTACCCCAACCATATTCCAGAGCCATATTATCCCTGAGACAAACTAGGCAAGTAGTGTGTACTTAAGAAGAACCAAGTTAAAGAAAGCACCGCGCATGTGCTTGTTCAACTGCCTATAGAGTGGCAGCGGCGTCAAATAAATTATGAGATGCCTAAGATGTATGTACTTGCTTGGCGCTCTCTAGCATAAATCCACCTCTACTATATTTATTTACTAGCTGTTGCCCGCGACTTCGTCCGCGTAGATTAATGACTTCTGACAGAATTAATCAGAATCAATTCAGTGCCTAAGTAAGATTTACCTATTTTGAAATGATTTATCGTTTTGTAGGAATTTATGAAATAAAGAATATTTGCAGCGTGATTTATAGTTTAATTAGGAAACTTAAGTTTTTACAATCGTTCACAAGATGAGTTACAAAGGGGACAAGAGAGCGCCATCTAGAACTGTCAAAATACAGGAACTAATATGGTTGCGTTCCAATTCCAATAAGTTTCAATAAATAAATAATCCCGCAGGGATCTGACCAGTACAGTGCCCGATCACGTAAGATTTGAGTAATAAAAACTATTCTATCGACTATTGTTGTACCGAATCTCTCTAAAATAAGTTCAGTGGTTAAGAGTTAGAGAGTCCTGGGGCATTGACGCATAGTTCTCGGTCCCGTGGGACATCTGTGATAGAAACTATCAAACGTTACCTAGGTCCCAAATCATCGTTCACCGAATGTAATTCAAAAAGATTCAATGAATCTAAATTCAATGGCTAAGACGATTTATACAAACTCTCATTCCCTATTTTATCCCCTTAGGTGTGGAATTTATCAAAATCCTTTCTAAAGAGATACCTATGTCATAGTAACTTTATGCATGCAAAGTTTCAGCCCGATCAATTTAAAACTGGCAAAGTATCATACAAACTTTCACCCCCTATTTTACCCACTATGGGGTGAGCATGTTCAAAAACCTTTCGAAAGGGACGTTTACGACATAATATCCATCTGCACGCCGAATTTCAACCCGATCGGTGTAAGAATGACAAAGCTTCATACAAACGTTCATCCCCTACATTACCCCATTGGAGGTGGAAATAATCAAAATCCTTACTTGGGGATGCCTACGTCATAACATCTACCTGCATGCCGAATTTCATCTGCATCGGTGTAAAACTGACAAAGCTTCATATAAACTTTCACCCCCTATTTTACCCCCTTACGGTTGGAAATGATCAAAATCTTTTCTTAGCGGATGCCTATGTGATAACATCTATCTGCATGTCAAATTTCAATCCGATCGATTTAAAACTGACAAAGTCTCATACAAACTTTCATCACCTATTTTACCCCCTTGGGGGTGGAAATTATCAAAATCCTTTCTTAGCGGATGCCTACGTCATAACATCTATTTGTATGCCAAATTTTAGCCCAATCTGTCCAGCGGTTTGGGCTGTGCGTTGATAGATCACTATGTCAGTCAGTCAGTCAGTCAATCACCCTTGAATTATATATATATAGATAAAATCAAATTACATTCATTCGCATAAAAGGTTGGTCATGGAGGTAAAATCAACTAAAACTAAGAGTTTAAAAACACATGTCAAGAGTTATTTGCTATTCAAATCGATTAATTTTTTTTACACAAATAAAAGTAGTGAATTTTTTTTTTAATCTTAGTAAGTTTTCAACCCAATCGGATAATAACTATATTGGATTTTAGACGATAGAGGTAACATCTCTAGTGAACTTATTGATTGATTGCACTTTGCATAAGACATAAACATAAACACTACATCAACTATTATACATGACAGTTTACCTACCTTGTATTCGGAATAGTGCACTTTGCCAGCCATTGGTAATAGATTTCAAGAATCATATTCATACTAGTTTTCCAGGTAAATTGAGTGTAATATTATTGCTAAATCAGTGAATATTCGAAGTGGGAACAGTGAAAAGGTATGTAGAAATACAATTTCTTTTAATAATAAAGATCCACTCCAATTCCTACCACTGCATCTATTTTCCAACTTAAAGATATTTACTTTTATGATTAAAAATCAGGTTTTATTTTTATGAGAACTCGTATACTTTAGTATCTCTTTTCAATGGGAAGTGAATTCTGGTAAGAAATCAATAAGACTTTAGTTCAAACAGCTAGGGCTTAGTATGATACTTATATGTAGTTACATAGGTAGTAAGTTATCGATTTTTTAGGCGTCTAGCCCTCTACTAAGTAATTTAAGGTGGGCTTCGATCATGAATATTTTACTAGTACTGCACTTATGCGTCAATAGACTTGTATTTTACCTTTTACGCGACATATAGGCATCGAAAGTTACGTAGTTAGCAAGTGATTGTGATTTTGTGCTACTGATTTCATAAAATTTCATCATTAAGTAGTAATGTTAAGATTTTTAAGAAATACGATAATATTTAACAGCCTTTATAGGTTTTGGTAGTTGCTTGTCTTTAAAATATTATTGTTGTTCAAAATATCATATGAAAACTAAATATAGCAAATGAAGTCTTCTTAAATTATTCATTGTAATATCCATTTTCCACAATGAACTTGATGATTTACTTTCTAAAAAGAACAATGTATGAATAAAAAATATCAACCAAATAGACCCATTGTGGTTTACTCTGAAGTAATTAACTAAATAAGCATGATAAAAATATCTTCTAACTTGCTTATTATTGTGTTACAACTTTCTAAAATGTTAGAGCATCAAAATATAGCGTAGACATAGCATTGTTGATGAGAAGTGTGACATCCATATTGCCAATGCCATACATAATGGAAAACATAGACAATTGTGTTTGTTCTCTTTTCTAGATTAGACATATATCAGTTTATTAAAACTTCAAAAATTAAAATATCTGTATTTAATAATATAATTATAATAAATATTGGGTACATTTTTGTCCAATAGTATGCATTTGTACATAATTAAGTCAAGTTTTAATTTTACCAATTTTATAAAATGGCAACACTGGTGTAGGGGAATTCTAGATTTTTCTCTTCACCAGTTAGAATATAATTTCTATATTTGACATAGTTCGTCGTAGTCATTTTACAATTTGCCTTCAACAGTATCACACCTGTTCTTAAGATTAACAAATTAAATATAAATATTTAATTATAATTAAAATTCAATTTTTTGTATTGTGTTTACACAGTGTGTTTCATATTACAGCTACCACGTGTAGGCAGAAGCTGTCAAAATGGGGAAACCACGTAAGTAACTCTACATCATATTTATTTATATGTTAATAAAATGTTGCGTAGAAATCAAATGTATGTTTTACGAGTTTCATGCTTTGTAGCTGTGTAACTCGAGGTCATTCCTGTTATTGGTCATAATAATCATCTTGGAAATTCAATAAACATAAATGATATGATAATATTTTGTTCATAATGTTGTTGGTATACTGTTTTATGATTTCTCTCTCTGTAATATTGTAGTTCAAAGAATGCTTTGTTTAAATTATTTTAAAATTAATACTATTATAAGGTTGTTAAAGAAGCTGTAGTCGTAACATATATGATTGTAAAAACTTGAATTGTTGTGCAATCAAAGTTGCATACAGTCATTGCAGTTATATGCAATCTATTTATTATTAATTATGTGATGATGTGATGTGAGTGTACTATGAGTAGCATCATAGTTAAAATGATTGGATTGTTATGTTATATTTTACATTAACATAATACTTAAATTTTAACTGTTCAAATATCTTAGATGTATGGAATTTTTAGTCAAGGTGTCTATTATTGTACCTGGTTATTGGATTCCCTTTAGGATAGTGAAATAAGTGAATTTATTTCTGCAAATAGGCTACAAGGCAGCACTTTTACATGTAATTTTTTTTAAAGGATTGATGAAGTCGACGTTTTCCAACTGACTACTCTGAGAAGAATTGCTGAAACAAACTCAAATATTCAGATAGAGAATTGTTTACTTTTCAAATATTGTCCGTTGTGTTAGAGGCACGAATAACCAGTGTATATCATCTTGTTGTTTATATCTATAAAATGTAACAATATACATAATGGGTGCAAAAAGTGTATTCACATTTTTAATGTATGCTGCCTACCTAACCCTTTGGTAAATTAAAAGGCAACATGTTATGTTTTTTTGGTCTCGATAACTTTTGAACCGGGTCAGAAGTAGCCTTTTTATTCTTTTTTTGTACTACTTACAGTAGCAACAAAGTAATCTATCATTGGTGGACTTCATAGACTTGCAATATTAGAGGTATCACAAGTGCATTGCCATGGAGGACCAAACCTTTTTTGAAGAAACTCAATCTGTGGCTCATGGGAGAAAATGGGGCAAGAATTTGATTTTATGACCCGAGTTGTTACATGTGATCCCTATTAGTACCTATTAGTACCTATGTGATGATTTATACATAAACATAATGAATCTTTCATGTTGAAACATGTTTGTATTTGTTTAATCTTCTAATAATTATATTGAGCCTGATATCTAATAATTATAATGTAGGTACCTACATAATACAAAATATTTTAGTGTTAATTTACATATTTTAGCAGGGACTGAATACCCTGGAAGTTGAGGTACCTTTAAATTGCGGTATGACGTCATACCAATAAATAAAGGTTACCGTTTACTTCGATATCGAAATAATATTCGGTACCGTTATTTTTGGGTATCAAATGGAAATAAGTATATTTGGTACCGGTCAATTTACCTTAATAATCTAATACTTTTAAACCAGGGCTGTCCAAACTATACTGGAGGGCCAGAAAAATATTATCACGTTGTATAATGACGTTTAACATTGTATTCTTTACTCACAGACAAAACTTGTATACAAATTATACACTGAATTTTATTATTGTTGTTGCACATAAGATGAAGATGTTGAGATTAAAACGTGTGTCGCGGGCCACATGAAAACAAGCCGCGGGACACATTGGCCCTCGGGCCTTATTTGGACAGCCCTGCTTTAAACGATCAATTCTTGTCATCCTACAACGACCATCAAATCTAAGTTTTTGAGTACCGATTTCGTATAAAGGTTAAATAACGGTATATCCTTAATTTCGGTATACTTTTTCGTACCGATACCGTAACATTATACCATAACCGCTTTCAGTCCCTGATTTTATTTGTATGATTCTTTAATTGAATCATTAAATTTAATACCTACTTATGTTGCTACTTTAACTAAGAAGAGTGTGGAACTTTGTAATCTAAGTTAAATACATATGTCATTAACCATGTCTGTTTAACCGCGAGTTGGACTCGCGTGCTGCTTTCTTTCGTTTAGTTTTGATTAATTTACTTATTTGTGAATTGAATGTCCATATTGAGTGAATAATTAATGACAATAACGATTAATAATTATAACTTCGACAAAATTAGGGCAGGTAATGTTTGTCTGTGTATAATTTAATTTATCATAAATTGTTTAATTAATTCCTGATATTTTTTACAGCAAAAAAGAAAGGAGGGAAAAAGAATGTTCAGAAAGAAGAAGATCCCTCGCAGAGTTCTATGTCTGTTGAGGAGCCAACTTCTCCTGATGTGCCAGAAGTAGAAGTAGAGGACGACTCTAATTTGTCGGCGGCAGCTCGCAAGAAAAAAGAGAAAAAAGAAAAGAAGGAAAAGTCACTGCAAGCTTTGCAAGCTCTGCAAGCAACGAGAAAACCTTCTTCACATTCAGAATCAACTGCAAAAGATGAAGAAGGTCCGACTTCTAACGAGCAGGCTACTAAACCTGAGCCAGAGTCTCCAGCAGAAGCACCATCTCAAACTCAATCGGAGGCTGCAGCTATGCCATCACAAGAGAAATCTCCACCACCTGAGGTAACCAAAGAACCACCGAAGCCTGTTGAAGAAGAAGAATTTGGCTTAGGTTTGGGCTTATCAGGCGCTAGGAAGAAGAAGCCTAAAAAGAAAAAAGCTGAACCAGTTCAACCAGTTGAAGCCCAGCAAGCGCCAGCTGCACAGCCAGTTCCACAGCCAGAAGAGGCTCCTAACGTTGCACCTGCAACGTCACCGGCAGCAGCTCCAGCTCCAGTCCTGGTGCAGATGCCAAAACCTGCGCAAGCTGCTCCTCCTGGACCATGGAGCAAGAGTGGATCTGGAAGAGGTCGTGGATGGACTCCCGTTCCTTTAGGCACCATGCCAGCGCCACAAATTCCACCTCCTGCGAATCTGATACCGCAACCGACGCCAACTACTCCAGTTCCTACTGGACGTGGTCCAAAATCCCTGGAACCTACCTTGTGCCACTACACGATACCGCATAAAATTCCCGGTAACCGTGTTCGAGCTGCCCATATAAGAGTAATGGTCAACTATTTGGAAATGGAATTTAAAGCTCTTAAAATTGTAAGTATGTCTAACTTCACTTAAATAGAATTAAATGATATGTGCGAATATGCATTGCATTTTAAAAATATTTCTAATATTTCTACATTCTGTTAAAAAAAATGAAGCTATAACCTTTTCTTTTTGCAGTATCGCTATGACGTTAGTGTAACTCCTGACAAACCAAAGAAGATGTTGCCTGATGTGTTTTTAAAAGTGAAAAATAAGTTTTTCGCTAATGAACTGATAGCGTTTGATCAGATGAAAAACTGTTATTCATTGAATCCTCTTAAGAATATTACATCGACGGAGCGGTTCCATGCCACTGTAAGTAATTAGGTATTAACACAATATTTATTAACAAGTTATTAACCATTAAGACGGACGAAGATCGTAAATAACTTACTTACTCCAATAATCTGTCGCGGAGAACCTAACGGGTTACCGAGGCTTCGGTTCGACGTGCAGGAGAAGGAATGGGGTGGCTTTTAGTCAGTAAGAGTCTGACACTCCCTCCCGCCTCACGCAGGCGGGAGAAGTCATTCGATGATTTGCACCCCTTAAAAAAACCAATAATCTCCAATTTCCTTTTTATTAAGAGGATGGCACAACCTGGATCTTGATGTAATAAGCAACCTTATTCTGTAACATTAAAATTATACTTATTTATGTTTTTACTTATTATAGGTCGAGTTACTAGATCAGAATGGAAGATCAATAAATTTTGACGTTTCACTGAAAGCTACTGGTGTCGTCGATTTGGAAAATATTAAAAAGTAAGTATCCAATATTCAATTGTGGTGAAGACGCTGTATCTATACTTTAGCTCAAACCAGTAGGAACGGGTGGTTTTTAGTCAGTAAGAGTTTCGACTCGCACGTCTCATTGAAGGCGGATGGAGTAATATTTTCCTTACTAATATTATAAATCGGAAAGTGAGTTTGTTTGTTTGTTTGTTCCGCTTTCACGCCGTAACTACTAAACCGATTGCTTTGAATTTTTGCAGACGTAAAGTTAGAAGTCCGGATTAAATAATAGGGTACTTTTTATCCCGGAAAAATTTTGATATTCTCGAGGGAAAACAAAAGTATTGTAGATAGATGGCGCTGTGTATATCGTTATATATCACATAGGCTACTTTTTATCCTTTTGTGACGCGAGCGAAGCCGCGGGTAAAATCTAGTTTAAAATAAATAATGTTTTTTTTTCAACAGTTACATGAAAACTCGTGCTTCGTCTCTATGCCATCCTACTGAGGAGATCCAATGTATTGATGTTATCTTACGCCAAGGAGCGTTGGAGTCATACGTTAAGGTATTATACAACCTAATATATGATAATTATGACAGTAATTTTACAGAGGCAAGCCTTTTGACAAATTTGCCATATTTAACATGATTTCATAACTATATGCTGTTAGACTTAGATCTAAAAACTCATTGTGCACTTATAAATATCAACAATACCATAATAAATCCATCCATCCAGGATTTTCTCATGTGCCGTGGGTGCGTTTACATTTACAATCAGAGTTGTTCCGTGCGGAGAAAGAAGCCGCGACGCGTTGCGCGGTAGCCGGTTGCACAGCCACCGCACCAACCGTGCAATTAAATCTAAGATGCTTTTCTCATAACATAAATAACATAACATCACGCCTTTTATCGCCGAAGGGGTAGGCAGAGGTGCAAATTATACCACTATACAATGTAACACCCAGTTTTCACTATTTATGTTATGAGTCCCATGTAATAGGGGGTGAGCCTATTGCCATATACCGGGCATAATAGGGTAGACGACTAATTTTTATTTTAATGTCCGTCTGATAGATTATTTAAAAACATTAGACACGTATTTTTTATTTTCTCACAGAAACGAATAGTTTCGAAGATATATTGATTTGAAATGTCGCGTGACGTCACTTCTCAGTACATTTTATACTAAGCAATGACGTTTTAGCCCCCACTCCTAAACTTTGATTCGTTTTATCTAAGTATTATTTTAGTATACGACAAAATAAAAAAATACGTGTCTAATATTTTTTCATTACCTAACTTACGGACTAATTATATTTTTAATTTTCATACCCTGTCATCATCCCCATTCTAGACTCCGTGCTACTACTGAGAATATTTAAAACCCAGTAATACTTTGCCCGACCTAGGAATCGAACCCGAGACTCCTTGCCCGGCAGTCGCACTTACGACCACTCGGTCAACGAGGCAGTCTTTTCTCATATGTAACAATGTCGGCTATTCGACCAAAGAGACACTATTATATATTTTTACTGTTTCTTTTTCTTCGCAGGCTGGCCGTCAATTTTTCAAACGCCCATCTCGTCCCGTAGATTTAGGCTATGGTTATGAAATGTGGACGGGATTGTTCCAGTCCGCGATATTTACCAATAAATCTTTTATCAACATAGATGGTAAGTAACTGACTTTGGCTGGAATACTGAAACGTTACTCAATTTTAAGTCGTGCTCAAATATCGTGCCATCTCTGTCATTTTACAAAGAATTTGTAGAGATAGAACTATACTTAAGCACGACATAAAATTGTGTAGCGTTTCAGTATTCTGACATTTGTCTTTAAATTAAAATAATATTTTATTATCTAGCGGCCAATTTAAAATAAACCCAGTTCGTATTGTTTGAAAGTTGAGATTTGTGTACTCCTATTATGCTTCTCTTTTAATTTATACTTTTTCGTTCATCATCATTATATTTTCTGCAAGTCATTCAGTCGAATAGTTTTTTTTTGTTTTTTTAATATTTATTGTAATTCTGCAGTTGCGCATAAAGGCTTCCCGAGGTACCAGAGCGTGCTTGATGCTATGATCAAAGATTTCAACTTGGACCCTACTAAGCCCCTTGAAAACCAACGTGGTTATGACTATTTCGTTCTTTTCGTCAAAGGATTGAAGGTTAGTAGATATTATAAAATAAAAAACATACAGACAACATATATTACAACATACATCATCGCTCTTTATGTATGACGTGTAAAATTCTAATAACATTGTAGAATTAGTTTTCTTACAAAAATAGGTAAACAATATTAAAGGGAATATTTTTTGCACCCCATCCATGGGATATCTATAAATAAAATTTTAGAATAAATCTACATTTCTCCGAAACGAGATTTCGTCATCAAATTATGTACCATAACACATAATTATGAAAAATTCAGAACTATTCTTGTACACGAATAAAATATTAAACCCACCGTGTGTTTGATATGGATTATTATTTCAAAAACGAAATTTTGGTTCCAAGAATTGAATGAATGGGTGTTTATGCCTGGTTATACTTCCCCGGTGTTAGATATTAGTTTTGTCAATGGCCCGACAGGGCTTTAAAGCGTTTGCTTATCTTTATTTTCCCGACGACTTTTCTACATTTTTATTTTAGAAGAAAAAAAAACATTATTTGTTGAACTTTTACTGACAAACAAAAAATAATAATATTTGTTTGTCAGTAAGATTAAAATTTCGTGATTCGAAGATCAAGGTAAAATGTAATATTTTTTTAGAACATATTGTTTTGTATACCAAGGTGGTTGCGACGTTGGTCGGTAACACGCCGTCAGCTGGTCATCGTCGGGAGTTCATCTGTAACGGCCTGGTGGGTCCACCCAATGAGCTTGTCTTCACTATTACGGAATCGGACGGACGCACACGAAAGACATCCGTCGCGGAATATTTCGCGAAAGACAAAAATTATAGGTGAGTAGACGATATTATTAGTATATTCATCTGTAATCATTAGTATCAGGTTTGTGTCTTTAAAATTAACATAGTTTTTAACCGACTTCAAAAAAGAGGGCGTTGAAGTCAGTTTTTTTTAAACGTAGTTTATAAAAGAATTATAGAAAATTGTATAACGACTGGTCATGTCGTGTATCGTGGTGGCCTGGAGGTTTAAGAAGCCCGCTTCGCATGCATGAGGATGCGGGTTCGAAACCTACCAACGGCAAGTACCAATGTAACTTTTTCCGAGTTATATGTACTTTCTAAGATTATCTAGACACCACTGACAAACGGCGAAGGAAAACATCGTGAGGAAACCTAGGCTTATAATTTCTAATTATAAGTCGCCAACCCGCATTGAGCAAGCGTGGTGATCAATGCTCAAACCTTCTCCGTGTGAGAAGAGGCTTTGCTCAGCAGTGGGTATTTATAGGCTGTTGAAGAAGAAGAAGTATAACGACTATCGTGAGACATATTAAATTTATAATTATAACTTGAAAATAGTACAGCTTTGCTCAGTCATTTCTCGCATTTAAATCGTTATTTTCAAATAGTTTAAATTTTTTTTTTTTATTTCAATGAAGGGACTGAAAGCGGTTAAGATATAACGTTACGGTACCGGTATAAAATAAGTATACCGAAATTTAGGCTATACCGTTACTTAATCTATGCGATATCGGTACCGAAATAAAGCGGTACCCTTTATTTATCGGTATGACGTCATACCGCAATTTAAAGGTACCAATATTTTCCGACTATTCAGTCACTGATGCAATGTTTTGTAAATGAGATGTGGCATTATGGCGTTGAAACTGTATTGGAACTATTAATACCTATTCGCCTCTCAAATACACATCTGAAATATGTAGGTAAGCTTTTTGTGCTATCCAATCTATCCAAATAGAGTAGTAGTATACAATATTTGTATTTTATTTTAGACTGCGGTATCCAAGATTAAATTGCCTGTGGGTCGGTAACAAGGACAGATGCATTTACTTCCCCATAGAACTCTTACATGTCGCTGAGGGTCAGGTAAGTTATTTTATTAAATTTGTAGCTGTTAATTTATCATAAAAGAAATATAAATATGATGTGTTGAAACGTCTGCATGGATACTCATAAATACATAAAACACACAAGTCATCTTAGTAACATCATGTATAGCTTCAACTTAACTGGTCTTTCAAGATAAATATTATAACAAAAATACCGCGGATATGTATACGTATTTAAGTGTGGGAGAGTCACGCTTTGGCACGAATGGACCGGCTCGACCGGAGTGATACCACGGCCTCACAGAAAACCGACATGAAACAACGCTTGCGTTGTGTGTCGTCGCGTGAGTGACGTTTTCCCCAATATCCCTAATGCCTGAATCACCAACAATCCTCAAATTCCTAATCCCCAAAAGGCCGGTAACGCACTTGTAACGCCTCTGGTGTTCCAGGTGTCCATCGACGATACCGATTGCGTACCATCAGGTGATCAGTCTGCTCGATTGTCGGCTTGTCCCATAAAAAAAAACAATATTTTGTCGCATTAGGGTAACACAAATTTTGCTACAGCTTGTTAGTAATAAAAGTATATAAGTATTATACTCATCAAAACCTTGAATAAATTGTTTTCAAAGATTATTTATATGAAAACAAATATAATATTTTCAGGCATTAACAAGGCAGTTGAATGACCAACAAATATCAAAAATGGTTAAGGAAGCAGCTACACCTCCTGATGAGCGTTTGAAGAAAATCAAAGAAGTGATTTCTAATGTAAGTAGAATAAACATTTTTAATTTTTGTAACAGTAAGTAGTGTAGGAAAGTATTTTGATTTTTTATACTTGATGGGCCGTGGCCGTGTCGTGGTGGCCCGGAGGTTTAAGACGCCCACTTCTCATGCATGAGGGTGCGGGTTCGAAACCTACCAACGGCAAGTACCAATGTGACTTTTTCCGAGTTATATGTACTTTCTAAGATTATGTAGACACCACTGACAAACGGTGAAGGAAAACATCGTGAGGAAACCTGGACTTATAATTCTAATTATAAGTTTGAAATCGCCAACCCGCATTGAGCAAGCGTGGTGATTAATGCTCTAACCTTCTCCGTGTGAGAAGAGGCTTTGCTCAGCAGTGGGCATTTATAGGCTGTTGATGATACTTGATGGGGCGACGTTTGACCACTATCTCGCCTGGTTGTAAGCGATGATGCGTTCTACGATGGAGCACGTCGTCCCATAAGCAACCTATTCACTCGGGCCTTAAAGACACCCAGATACCCTTCAGGAAAATACAGACTCTGGCAAAGAATTCCAATCCTTAGCAGTACGCACAAGGAAGCTGTATGCTTCAGACATTAATTCAGTCTATGTACGTTTTGTGCATTAAACATTAAAATAATATTTTTTTAATCTATGCATTTTCCTTAGATGAAGTACTCGCAAAACAGAGATTTCAAACGATTCGGATTGGAGATTTCGGAGAAGTTTTACACTGTTAAAGCTAAAGTACTGGAGCCTCCTGTTTTGGAGATTGGAAACGGAAAAGTCACTCCTAGGTATGTAACCATTGTAATCTATACGTTAATCTTATATAAAAGTACCCTTAACCGACGAGCATGCATGAAAAGATTGATGACTGTTAATGAAGCGAAAGAGGTATGTAAGAATCGTAGTAATTGGCGTTCCTTAGTCTCTGCCTACCCCCATGGGAGACAGGCGTGAAGTTATGTATGTAATCTTATATACTACTACTTCCGCGCGGTTTCACACGCTCTGCTCAGCTCCTATTGGTCTTAGCGTTTTTTTATTTGAACGCTCTAATATCAGAAACTACTGGTCCGATTTGAACAATTATTTTTGTGTTGGATAGTCCATTTATCGAGGAAGGCTATAGGCTAAAACATCACGCTACGATATCAATAGGTACTGAGTAGAGCGGGTGAAAGTAACTAGTAAAGTAATAAAATAAACAGTCCCCCGCGCGCGCGCTCTGCGTACGGACGTGTGCTAAATACCTGTTATCGATCGATAATCGATTTCGCGCCAACCGACAACCAAAATGGTGCAGTGTAAAAAATGTAAACTGTTTTTATCAATGTCGAAGGATGATGTTATCAAGTGTAAAGGGACATGTGATAGTGTGTTTCATAAAAAATGTGTCAAGAAACAATTTTTACAAAATGAAATATGTGAAGAGTGCCAAAAATCCAGCTTCAAATCCCCAAATCTGACATCGCCAAAGATCGATATGGATCCGCAAAAGCTTACAGTGGAAACATTGCTGTTGCAAATGAATAAGAAGTTGGAAATCATATTCAATCTGGAAAAAAAACTGGACGACCTCACGGAGACGGTTGATTTTTATGCTGAGCAATACCAACAAATGCAGGAGTTTAAAAAGACTGTCGAAAATAAGATGAAGGCTATTGAACAGAGGAATGTGTACCTGGAAAAATGTAATAGTGCGCTAGAGGAAAGGGTAAATAATTTAGAAAAAAATGAGAAAGAAAAAAACATCGAAATTGCTTGTCTTATGAAAAATGAACATGATGAGAACGTCGAGGAAGTCGTCAAACAAATCGCTGTAAAGCTGTGCCTGAACCCAGAAGATATCGAAAGTGCCGAGCGAGTGAGCTCGCTGAATAAACAGAAGACGGGGGTAGAACGACCACGCCCCATCATCGTCAAACTGCGGTCGAAGCAGGCGCGCGATCAATGGCTACAAAAGCGTAAGGTTAAAATAACTAACGGAAACGTATATCGCAATGACAATAGAATGCCAATATACATCAATGAAGACCTAACTAGGACAACTAAATTATTGTTCTGGGAAACAAGAACCCAATTAAAGCATCACTACAAATACATATGGGTTCAAAACTCACATATATTAGTCAAGAAAGATGAAGGGGAGAAGATTATTCGTATTAAGAACGAAAACGATATTAAGGAATTATTATTGCTTGGTAACAACAAAAATCCAAGCCCGCCAACACAATAACAATACTCAGTAGTACCACAATAGGTGATTTCCGCAAACTACAAAATTCGATAATCAAAGCCAAGGACTCGAACTGAGCAACATTGAATTTAATAGATACCAAGACCTAAGCACCTGGGCACAGCAATTATCAAAACATTACCTCAACATAGTGCATTTAAACATCCGCTCTATACGAAAACAATTTAACCAGCTACTTGTGTTATTGAGTCAATGCATTTCTAACAGGACAATAAGCGTCATTATTCTCACAGAAGTCAACATAAAAAGCGAAGAAGTACCATTATACAAAATTCCTGGATATGTTGTATATCCTAACACTAGAGAGACAAGAAGAGGAGGAGGAATACTCATCTATGTAAAAGAAGATCTACATTTTACAACAGAAATACCACAGATACAAATTAAAACGGCAGAGTTAACATACGGAAAACTGAAGAACCGAAATAAGCTAACGCATATACTAGCCCTATATAGACCTCCAAACACTAATAAGTTAGCATTCGTCTCGGAACTTGAAGCTATGCTCAAAACTATACCACCCACCGAAGAACTGATATTAATCGGTGACGTCAATATAGACTTATCACAAGACGTAAACCCAAGTCTCACCGCGTACAAAATCGCCCTGTGTGAAAGCGGCCTGCAGTGTGCAATACCTACGATGGAGATAACGCGCGAAGCGATCGTCGACGGCCGAGTGAATTCCGCGAATCTTGACCATGTGTGCGTGCGAGCGAGCCGTGCACAGCCGATCGACGCGCGCGCGCACCTGCTAACCTGCACCTTATCGGATCACTACATGGTAGGAATTAGCGTGGCGCCGAGTGCTAACGTAAGTAAATGTGGTAATGATAGTTCTAAAATACAAAATATTATTGATGATAAAATTGTTGGTGAGTGTTTGAAAGAAATTGATTGGATAGATTTAATGCAAACTAATTGTCCTCTGTTATTGTATGAAAAGTTATATAATATTTTTTCTAGCATTTATATTAAAAGTAAAATACAAGTTATTTTAAAGAAAAAAAGGATTACGCAACCGTGGGTTGATGTAGAATTAAGAAATAAAATAGAACATAGGGATTTGCTCTTTAGAATATGGAAATCTTCGCCAAAGAATATGAATAATAGATTAATATATACACGATACAGAAATAAAGTTAATAAATTAATAAATAATGCTAAGAATAATTATAGACAGAAGGAAATAAAAAAATGTGATAATGATTTTAGAAAAATATGGGCTAACATAAATAAATGGATAGGTAATCCCAAAATAAGTTTAGATGGTGTTATTATAAAGTATTTAGGACAAACAGACACTATGTACAATGTATGTAATAAGTTCTCTGAAACGTTTACGGGTGAAATACTAAAAATTAAGCACAACTGTAATAATAATTTTCTGGATAGAAGTTCCTATGTAAAACCTAGTGATAAGTCTTTTTATTTTAAGAAAGCTGACGCTAGTACAGTTGAAAAATACATAAATAATTTGAGTTGTAATAAGGCTCCGGGCATAGATGGGATAAGGGTGCAAGATGTAAAACGGGTAAAAAAAGAAATTAGTCCAGTATTAGCTAAGTTAATCAATATGTGTGTTGGTGGGGGTGTTTACCCAGACCTATTAAAAAAATCTCTAATAAGACCTATATTTAAACAAGGCAATCATTTGGAATACAGTAACTATAGGCCAGTCGCCATATTATCAGTAATAAATAAATTAGTAGAAAAAGTCATTGTAAATCAGGTTAGTAGCTATTTAGAACAACACCATGTAATTTCCGAGGCGCAGCACGGGTTCCGGCGCGGGCGCAGCACTGCCACTGCTCTCGCGCAATTCACCGACTACGTCAATAACAACCTCAACCAGGGTAAGTGTGTCGCAGCATTATTTATTGACTACAAAAAAGCATTCGATACCCTGGAACACGACGTACTGCTGCGGGCGATGGACGAGTGTGGTGTACGAGGCCCCATTAACCGCTGGTTTAAGAGCTACCTGGAGAGCAGAACCCTTCGCACATCCATAGACGGCACCATCGGCGACGAGGTAAGCGTGAATCTCGGCGTACCGACCGGCTCGGTGTTCGGCCCGGTGGGGTACATAATGCACGTGAACAGTGTCATCAACGTCATAAAGCACTGCACAACGTTTATGTACGCGGACGACATGTGCCTGCTATACTCGTCCAACAGCGCCGCAGAGGCACAATACCACATGCAGGTGGACTTTGAAAATGTTATTAAATGGGCACACGATAATGGCATAATACTAAATTTCGCTAAAACTAAATTAATGTATATATATTCTCCCTATAGTAACTATAAAAATCAAGCACAAATACACATAACCGGTCATACATACGAATGTTTACATAGTGATAAATATAGATGCCTTTGTACAAATATAGATATAGTAGACAAATATAAATATTTAGGATTAATAGTAGACAGTAATTTAAATTGGAAATTACATATTAACGATGTATGTGGTAAGCTGCAATCCATTCTGGGTAAATTCTTTCACCTCAGTAGATTTGTTAGTAGGAAACTGTTATATGTTTTATATTTCGCACTTGCAGACTCATTGATTGGCTATGGTTTAAGTAGTTACGGACTAACATTCAAAACACATTTAGATTTAATTAAACAATTACAAATTAGACTGAGTAAGTACCTTGTTAGCAAAAAAGTAAAGTTAAAATATAAACAAAATTATGAAGAATTATTAAAATGTTGTAATATAATACCAGTGCATGATAAAGTAGATTACCTCATAGCCATGGAGCAATACAACTTAAATGAACACAAAGAGCCAATAAATCACAAATATAAGACTAGGAGTGCTGTGCAGGGAAAATTTGTAATACCTCAGGTGAAAAATTATTATGGTAAAAGGACTAGGCGATATTTAACTCCAACAATATTTAACAACATAGATTTTATAAGAAACGCGTCCAAAGATAACATAAGTGATGCTTTATTTAAAAAAAGACTTAAAAACTACTACCTAAAAGTATAAGATACTCATAAGTAATAGAAATAGTTTTATTAAGATATTAGTATTAATAAAATTAATAATATTTTTGTCATTTAATAATAATTGGTAATACATATAATAGATTTAATGTAAAATACTTCTAATATTATATAAAGAATATAATATGTACATAATAAATAATATTTAAGAGCGCCATTATCGCCAACAAACTGGTAACAGTTTGGCGATTTTTGTATATTTAATAATAATGTATACATTTATGAGAATAAACAATAAAAAAAAAAAAAAAAAAAAAAAACTGCAAGATTGGAGATGACTGTGCGAGCAGATGCTGCGTAATGTGTTGCGGGTTTGATTCCTGCTCGCAATAATACTTTGTCATCAACGAATTGTTCATGACTACTGCTAATGACAGCTAATTTTAATAATTAACAAAGTTTTACGTCTCACTGATGTCACTGCTTGACGAGGTAGCTCGACCAATTTCAAGTAACGCTAGGGGCTCAAAATCACGTCGTTGCGGCAACTTACGTGAGTAAGATGTAAGACATAGTGTAATTTAAAGTTTATACAATAATTTTATATATTTATTTTTAAATATTTGTTTATATAGGAAAGGTCAATGGCAAGCTAACCGTCTCTTGAAGCCTGAAGCACTTACATCGTGGGCTCTCATCGCAGTCGACACTGATCCAAGGAATGATTATGGACAAATGATCGATTTGGTAATATAAATATAATCAACTGTTTCTATTTCTAAATACTTTTTAAATACAAGCTCTCACATGTCACGTCAGTCTTAGTGAGTTCGGTAAATTTCAACAAAGATGGCTACTAAACTACCTCGTTGGCCGAGTGGTCGCAAGTGCGATTGCCGAGCAAGGGGTCTCGGGTTCGATTTCTGAGTCGGGCAAAGTATTACTGATTTTTAAAAAAAATCTCAGTGGAAGCACGGAGTCTGGAATCATGCCCGGTATATGGCAATAGGCTCACCCCCTATTACATGGGACTCATAATATAATAAGGAAAAATGGGTGTTACATTACACAGTGGCATAATGTGCACCTCTGCCTATCCCTTCGGGGATAAAAGGCGTGTTGTTATGTTATGTAAATTAGGTAACACAGCTATTATGCATCATTTTCTTTATCGACTCTCAACCCCTTAGAAGATTGCAACAAAATCGCGGGCAGAAGCTAGTATATTCTGAATACTAATATATAATATACGTTTTACAGATTGTTAGTACTGGAGGACAGATGGGAATGGCAGTAAACAAGCCTAAGTTTGTCAACGTTAATGCTAAGATGAAGATGTTGCATAGTATTCTGATGAATGCATACCGTGATGTGCGCTTTGTCTTCATTGTGGTGTCGTCTAGAGGCCGCGATGACTATCATAAGGTAAGCAAAAGTCACTACGTATAGTCAGAATTATAATTAGATTCCAGATTTGACAATATCTACTGTCATTTTGTGAAATAATGATACCACATATAATAGTGTAGTGATGCACACAAAAATCGATAAACTATCAGTGTGTGTGTTTTATAATAAATGTTACAGAAAGTGACAGGATAGCGATAGCGATGACGGCGATAATTTATAAAATAACTTATTACCATAATACATCTATGTGTTTTATTTGTCATGTTCCTTCATGATTACATTTTTTATTGATTTCACACACAATTATAAAAGAAAAGTCTCAGATCGTTAATTAATCATCAAAACTAAATTATCGGTTCAGAAATATTAAATTTCCTCATGTACTTACTTAGTTTACGAGAGTAAAATTATAAACGAGAAGAATCGATCCAGAAATATTGCATTTCCATATCGAATAATTTCGCAACGTCACTATTTAGTACTTGTCATAACGTTGCAACACTGAAATTGTCAAATCTGGAATCGAATTAAAATTCCGAGTATAGTATAAAATATTTATATTTCTGTCTGTCCCTATGTATGCTTATCTTTAAATCCAAGGACGTCGCCAGTGACGATAAGTGAACTAACGCGACGTCGCCGGACTTAGGTCGACATGTCTCGCAACGTCAACGTCGCTGTGGACATAAGGCGCACGTTGTTGCCTTATAATTGTCGGGTGAAATCCACAGGCTTCGCTTGACATGTTCCTTATGCTACTCAATTTTAAGTTGTACTTAAATATCGTGCCATCTCTGTCATTTTACTAAGAATTCGTAGGGACAGTACTATACTTAAGTGCGACTTAAAGTTGAGTAGCGTTTGAGTATTTCAGCGACTATTAGTGTATTAAAACGACGGCTAAAAACGATGCGGTAAATTTTGATACGGTTTTCTTTAATAAATAGAGTGATTCAAGAGGAAGGTTTATGTGTGTACTTAAGGCGTGCGAAAATGCGGACAAAAGTCAGTAACATATAAATTTCTTCTTCTATCCCATTGCTGAGAAAAGACCTCACACGGAAAAGGTTGAGTATTTACCACCATGCTGGTTCAAGGCGGAATGGCGATCTCAAACTTATAATTAGAAATTATGAACTCGAAACTTGAACCTTTTATACTGCGATCTCCAACTTACCTGAAAAATGTGGAGATTATGGATTTTTTTTAAATTTTCCTTCTATTTAAAGGAGACCTATAGTGCAGAAGTGAAACGTCATAGGTCATTGATGATAATTATTAAATGGATATCAGAATAATAAATCCACTCTCCAAAATAGTATTGGAATTGTAGCAAGAATAATCCTGTAATTGTTTTCTGTAACTTGAATTTACTTTGATTTTAACAGGTGAAGCAATTGGCGGAGCGTGAAGTAGGCATTTTGACCCAATGCATCAAAGAGATGACGGCGCGTCGTATGAATCAGATGACAGCTAAAAACTTACTGCTGAAGGTAAACTATCTCTCATTTTTCATTTTTTATGACATAAACCGGTAAACGAGCACATGGATCACCTGATGGTAAGCTATCGGCGACACCTGAAAGATAACTCACTTGTTACGGTAACCTGAAACACCAAGTTACGGTTACAAGTGAGTTACCGGCCTTTTGTGCATTGGGAATTTGAGGATTGTAAGGGATTCGGGGATTGAGGAGACTGGGGAGGGGGGTAATTGGGCCTCCGGTAACCTCACTCACACGACACAACGCAAGCATTGTTTCTCGTCGGTTTTCTGTGAGGCCGTGGTATTACTCCGGTCGAGCCGGGAGCCGAGGTATAAGTCATTCATCGTCATTTCTTTTACGATTATTTATTCAGTTTTTAAGGCTTTGGCTGCCAATAGACAACTGTTAAGGTAAATCCTCCGCTAACGTGGGTCACCAGTCACGCCAAAGGCGTTTAACGTTTAACTTTTATCTTGTTTAAAATATTCTTAACTTTGAATTGAGGTGACACATAATTTCACACCTTTTAATCCCAAGAGTGACAAAGGTGTTCATGTTAAAACTCACTTTCATTCGTTATTATGAGTCTCATGTAATAGGCCCTTTTGCTAAGTACTATTAGAGAGAATTTATTATCCAAACCCGACGTGCAACTCAACCAATGAAGACATTGTAATAATTATTATTACGTAACAGTCGTCCATAGTTCCCAATTCACCAGTCCACAACAACCCAACCACAACCCTACCTTTTCCAGTATTTAAAATAGTTTTACACTAATCGAGGACTGTCCTTCGGTGCGTTTCCATAGTGCATACAGGGATAGTCACCGGTTTGTGTCCCTTTGTATTTAGATTAATGTTGTCTAAAGGGCTTCTGCGCAGTTGACTTCAGTCCCTCGTACGCCTTCCAAATGACCCCGTGATCCCGTCATTGCTAAAAATTACTACGTAATATTTGTTTTGACAATTATCTATTACAACATATACAAAACATACCGTACCTAACTTATGTTCTTAATATCAGGTGAATTCCAAACTGATGGGTATTAACCAAGCTATCGACTCGCTGGCGATGCCGAAATGTTTAAAGGACGCTCCAGTCATGATCGTAGGTGCTGACGTCACTCATCCCTCACCAGATCAGGTATGAAATTATCCACAAATGTATTAACAGCGAACTCATGTAAAAAAATCGTTTTTGGAATAATTTTATTCATTCTTCTCCGTGGTACACTTTGGAAATAGGTTATAAAGATCGATTGACCGACAAATCGATTTCATCTAAATTAAGTAAATTATAAGCCCTTCTTTTCCTTAAAATGAAATATAATTAAAATAATAGGGATGATGACAGGATATGAAACTTAAAAATCTAATTAGTCTGTCATTAGGTAATGAAAAAATATTAGAAACCTATTTTTTATTTTGTATTAAAAGAAAACGATACTTAGAAAAATGAATCAAAGTTTAAGAGTTGAAGGTAGCTACGCCATTTTTTAATTATAAAACGTACACTAAAGTGACGTCACGCAATAATTCAAGTCAATATATTATCGAAAGTATTTGTTTCCGTGAGAAAATAAAAAATACGTGTCTTAATATTATTAAATTATCCACCTGAAAAAAAATGTTGTCGTCTACTATCGATAATTAGGTATATCAAAAAATACTTAAGAAATGTTTAAAGTTTCGTTAGTATATTTTGCATAATTATTATTAATTAATCATTTTTATTTTCAGTCGAATGTACCTAGTATCGCTGCGGTGACTGCCTCTTTAGATCCGAAATGCTATATCTATAATATCGAATTAAGCATACAAACTCCAAAGGTAAGTGCACCATACTGACTTATTTATTTGTTTGACCTTATCTAAGCAGTACGTACGTACTCTATCTACTTTGTTACAAAACAATAAAGTTGATGAAAAAAATTTGAATGACATCTAAGGTAGACATAACATAACATAATATCACGCCTTTTATCCCCGAAGGGGTAACAGAGGTGCGCATTATGCCACTGTACAATGTAACACCCACTTTTCACTATTCATGTTATCGAGTCCCATGTAATAGGGGGTGAGCCTATTGCTATATACCGGGCACAATTCCAGACACCGTGCTACTAATGAGATTTTTTTTAAAACCCAATAATATTTTGCCCCATCCGAGAATCAAACCAGAGACCACGACCACTCGGCCAACGAGGCAGTCTAACCTAAGGTGGACTTAAAGTCATATGACCACTACCAATCAACTTTACTTAAAAGCATTTTAAATGGACCGAATTTTGTAAATGTGCACTCTAAACTGCTGTATTTAAAATCTAGTTTCTTGTAACATACTTCATTTATAATTAATATTTACAGAAAGAGATGATCGTGGAGTTTGAAGACATGATGTTCGATCATCTGAAGATATACAAGGAGCGCAATCAAGGCAGATTGCCAAAGAAGATATTTGTATTCCGTGACGGTGTATCTGAAGGACAGTTTAAACAGGTAATTATATATTAGTTGTATTGGTGAGACATGCTAAATAAATTATTATGTTTCGGGTTACTCACGTAATGGGGATGATGACAGGGTATGAAAATTAAAAATATAATTAGTCCGTAAGTTAGGTAATGAAAAAATATTAGACACGTATTTTTTTATTTTGTCGTATAATAAAACAATACTTAGATAAAACGAATCAAAGTTTAGGAGTGGGGGCTAAAACGTCATTCCTTAGTATAAAATGTACTGAGAAGTGACGTCACGCGACATTTCAAATCAATATATCTTCGAAACTATTCGTTTCTGTGAGAAAATAAAAAATACGTGTCTAATGTTTTTAAATAATCTATCAGACGGACATTAAAATAAAAATTAGTCGTCTACCCTATTATTTGACGAGGAACTCGACTAGACGTAATTAGCAGTAAGAGTAGCAGCGCGACAGTCGCCGCGTCACAGGTCGCGAAGTGTTGCTCATGAATATGCGCCTCTAGCATGGCTTGAAACTAGTCGAGTTCCTCGTCAAATAATTACGTGAGAGCCGAAAACATAGTAATTTATATATTAGTTTCTGCTAGCGGCTGCGTCCGCATTTTCGTGGAATAAAAAGTATCCTATGTGTTATTGCAGACTATAATCTAACCCTGTGGCAAATTTCATCCCGATCCCTTAGCCATCTCGACGTGATTAAGTAACAAACACAGTAACACATGCTAGCTAACTTACAAACTTTTGCTTTTATAATAATTGGTAAGATTATGAATTCTTAAATTAGAAAGTGCGCAAGTCCTATCGCATTAGATATTAGTTCCTGTAATGATAGTAGTATGTACATAGTGAATAAATATATTTTATAGGATAGGGATAGCAAACGAGTAGACGGATCGCCTGATAGAAAGCAATCGGCGCCGCCCATAGACATTCAATACCGGAGGAATCACAAGTGCGTTGCCGTGTAGGTCGAATGATAGTCATGGATGTCCAAATAATACTGTCCTTTGTTGAATAATACATTGATTATATATTATACTAGCTACTTCCGCGCGGTTTCACACGCTCTGCTTAGCTCCTATTGGTCGTAGCGTGATGTTTTATCCTATAGCCATCCTCGATAAATGTGGTATCCAACACAAAAAGAATTATTCAAATCGGACTTGTAGTTACGGAGATTAGCGCTTTCAAATAAACAAACAAAAAAAACAAACTCTTCCGCTTTATATAATAAATAGTATAAGATTAATAATTACACACTTACACAGGTATAAGATGCATGACTTATTACTACATATACATACACTACATACGGCCTTTTGGGTATTGTTAGGGATTTGAGGTAGGTATTGGAGATAGTTGAGGAAGGATTGTGTCACCGAAAACCTCACTCACACGGCGAAACAACGCAAGTGCTGTTTCACGCCGGGTTTCTCAAAGGCCGTAGTGTAGCTGAGGCTTAAGTCATTCTGTCTCCCGTATTAAATTCACCAACACAGATGAAATCTATCGTTTTTTTTTCTTCTTTAAATTATATCTTCTGATTTATTTCGTTGCAGCATCCAAGACAGTTATTCATGTCCCTGGGACGCGCTGGACTTCAGTGTTCTGATGTTTTCATGATTTTATCTACTGTAGATCTTGGGTTACAGGAGTTGCAGTTTGTGATGTTGTGGGCTTGTCTCAATAATAACAAAGGCATAGTAGGTCTCTCCATAAATCATTATAAAAAACATCTCGTTTGCGACACTATCTCATAAAAGAACCGTTCAAAAAATATGGTTGTGTTGTAGGTAATGAACAGTGAACTTGCAGCGGTCCATAATGCTTATCAGCGCATGGCAGGTATGCAAAACAAGCCTGAAGTATTATTCCTGTTGGTGCAGAAACGACATCATACGAGGTACGAAATTTATTCTTTTTTTTATTTAAGAATAGGTAGGTAACATTATTTTCTTTTAAATACTCACAATGGATCACGTGATCCAATAAAATTCATATTATGACAGTGACATATTAAATTCTTTTATTGAAATGTCCAAATCTATATTTTCTTATGAATCGTAGCGAGGTATGACGTTTAATTATATAAAAATTGCTAGAAAATCTAGAGTATATTGTTATATCAATTAATTAAAGTGTATTTATTTCAAAATATTTGTTTCGAAAAGTAAACATAATTTATTTTCACTGAGAAAACAGAAAACTAATCAACTGTTTTTAGCAACACAGTTGCGTGGTTTATTTGTCTCATGGAACGATGGTTTATTGATCGAAGCGCGATAATTGATCATGATGGCATAATATAACATCACGCCTTTCTTCCCTGAAGGGGTAGGCAGAGGTGCAGATTACTGCACTTAATGCCACTGTACCATGTAACACCCACTTTTCACTATTTTACGTTATGAGTCCCATGTAATAAGGGGTGAGCCTATTGCCATATACCGGGCATAATTCGAGAGTCCGTGCTACCAGTGAGAATTTTTTAAAAACCCAATAATATTTGCTCGACCCTCAAATCGAATCCGAGACCCCTTGCCTGGCAGTCGCACTTGCGACCACTCGGCCAACGAGAAAGTCATCATGATGGCGATTGACAATAAATATTATATTTTCAGACTGTTCAATGACGGACCTAACGTACAATATAACGTGGAACCAGGCACAGTCGTCGACACTGATATTGTGCACGCGTCTGAATTGGACTTTTATTTAGTAAGTAATAAATATCTTAGCAAAATTATTCCTCAAATTATTTAACGCTAGTATTTTCTCGCTGAAGGACATTAGTAGTATCCACTTTTTACCAGTTTTGTCATGAGTCACATGTAATAGGGGTAAACCTATAAATTGTCGCGGAGAACCTAACGGGTAACCGGGGCTCCGGCTCGACGTGCAAGAGAAGGAACGGGGTGGTTTTTAGTCAGTAAGAGTCTGACACTCCCTCCCGCCTCACCCAGGTGGGAGCAGGCATTTGATGATTTTCCCCCATTAAAAAAAAACCTTTAAATTGTAGATCAAACAAAAATGTAGTCTCTATGCTAGGTAGTAATGTTGCAATGTTTAGTAGTAGGTACTACCAAAAATATTCAAACATCAAACTAAAACTCCGAAATTAGTTATTCAGATCCCTCGGCCGCGCTAGACTTTAGTGTTCTTGTGTTTTCATAATGTTGTAGAACCTGGCTTATAGGAGTTGAAGCAGTTTTGAGAAGCGGTTTTGAGGGCTGGTCCCGTATATAAAAAAACATTAAAAAAACAAGCATTTATTTAATATGTCTCATGAAAGTTTATAATGTAAAGATGTTTAGACCATTCAACCAGCAAAATGATTTGTTTAAAAGTGGAAATGAAATAATAATACTTTGGATGTTTAATTGACTATATTATTTTTAAACCAGGTGTCTCACCAAGCTATAAAAGGCACGGCTCGTCCGACTCGCTACCACACAGTCTGCAACGACGGCAAGATCCCTGACGATGAAGTGGAACAACTGACTTACTACCTGTGCCACTTGTATTCTCGGTGTATGCGATCCGTATCGTATCCTACACCGACCTACTACGCCCATCTTGCCTGCCTACGAGCCCGATCTCTTACTCAGTACGTATTTTTTAAATATATTTTATGATATAAAATTGTTTGATTTGTTTTTTTTTTCGATATTTCATGTACAGTGCGTAGGGTCATGTATCGAAAAAAATCGAAAATCGAAAATGTAAAAAAAATAGTGCTTGTATTTTGATTTTAAAATTAAATATAATACTCGTTGTTTGTAAAGAACTTACAGCACGCCAGTTATGTGATGTTCGGGGAAAGCGAGACCTGTTTTTCAAAAAAAAAAAAAAATTGTCTCTTGTAATATACACAAACAAATAACTGTGACTGCACACAAACAAACAAATAACTGATGTGGGGATTTGTAATGCGATAATTTCTGTATGGAAAAAACAGCTTAATACTTTATGAATGGGCTGAGATTAACGATTTCTTTTTCTTCCTTTCAGTGGCGAAAAATTCGATAATCGAGAATTGGAACGTAAACCAAAGCGGCTTCATGTTCTCGACAAGATGCTGCAATTCAGCCGCATGTTCTTCGTTTAAAGGAATACAACATTTTAAAATGGAACATCATTATCAATTTTTTAAACTCTGTCTCTTTACCTTTACATAAATGTAGCGCACACAAAAAAAGAAAAAAAAGTTAAAAATCTATAAAAAAAAGTATTTAATGTGTAGTGGAAATGTACCTTTATTTGACTAGTCCAGTATTCAGATCATAATATAAAAGAAAAAATGTATAAACGTGATTTTTTTAGGTCCAATCGAACCAGAGGTTTGATTTTAAGTGATATTTTGATTATGTTTTTCAATATATTTATTAAAATCAATTTTTATTTTCATTTAAATGACTGTTTTCGGGAACAATGTTCTGGCTATCAATGGTTAGGGCTCCAAAGATCTTCTGCCTTCTGTATAAGACTCTTGATCTATCCGCCTAACGCTAACCTACTGAAATGGCAATCTGAGTCCTTCAATGATTTCTCCCTTCATGTGATTCGTCGGTCGAGCTCGACACACCGTCACCGTCGAACTTGTTTAATTGGTTCTGGCATAGTCAAGCATTTTTTAAGGGGAGGGGGGAGGGTAGCGTCAAATTACTCTTCCCTCTCTGGGTGATACGTGTAGGAGTGTTAAACTTTTACTGAGTAAAATCCATCCCTTGCCAACTCTACTCCTTCATGGGAGTCGTAAAATGCCGCCTGACAGCAGCGTGGCTGCCGTGTTGCTTTATTTTTTATTTAAATAAGTAGGTAACAAACGCGCGGCCCCAGAGCACGGTACCGCGGCTACAATTGCTCCGCGCATTCCTCGCGCATGTTACGTGTGCCAGTGTTGCCAAGTCTACCCTTAACGATTTTAATTATTGTTCCTTAAATTACGTAATCATAAGGTTGACAATGGTTTTAGTTTAGTTGTGATCATTTTAAAAATGTTTTTGTCTTTAGATTTATATTACTTAATTTTTGTAAGTGTGATGTCATTGTGTCTTATCGGTTTGATTCAATGATTGTGTCAAATTAAAATAACGTTTATATTAAAGAAAAAAAAACAGTTTTTGAATTAAAATACTTTATTCACTGGTTATTATAAGATAGAAAAGTAATTCAATGTGTTAGTGGTAGTAGAACACTATAGATTTAAGAGCTGTTTAGCAAGACCAAGACCTTGGTTACAGACACGCGGCGCGTTGGGCATCTGTCGTACATTACCGCAGCGGACTGTGTTATCGCCTGCGCAATCACGAACATTATTATTTATGAGTAAAGTACGATGGACGCACGACGCGCCGCGTCTCCGTAAATGAGGCCTTAGGCCCATTTGTCCACGTAATCGCACGTCATATACATAGTTTCGTCAATTGACGATTGCAATACGAATGCTCGCATCTTGCGTAGTAACAGTTTTTTTAAAAGAGTTACGAATGGAGTTTCTTGCTCGTTCTTCTCCACTCGAATCGACATTTTGGAACGAGCGCCTAGCTTCACTGACAGACAGACTGACAGACTTTTATTTATTTCATATTTATTGACGTTTGAGTTTGAACACTCAAAATTGTGAACGACGGACTGGCAACTTTCCGTTACTACTAATTCAAATCCACTTATCATCATTTGTAGGTTGCATGCATTCACCAATTGAAGCGTCGTGGACCGTAGGCCTAGGTCTTATCGCCAATGTGACTAGTATTTAGAAGCCTTATCTTTAGGACAGGTGCCCTCATGCTTCATTATGTAGTATCTATACGGGGTGGAATTCTGTAATACTACCTGAAGGGGAAGTACTCTTAATACTTTAGATAGAAAATTTTACTCAAAGAAAACATTCCTTTATTTTTGAAGTACAGAAAATGGCGTTTAATTTTTTTTTTAAAGTCTCTTGCCTCACGGTTATGAACCGACTAAAATCTGTAAAAGTTGCATCCTGTACTTGTATTGCATCGATCGTTAGGGTCCATAAGGATGAAATTTCTTTAACAAACTTCATAAATTAAATGAAATGAAAACAATGAAATTATAGATTATAAATTCAATGGTCGACCCAACGGTTAAACCACTTAAAGTATTAAGTGTTTCTTCAGCTGGCATTACAAAATTCCATCCTGTATATCGTATAAAAATCTGCATTCATAGAAGCAGAATACAGCTGATTTACGTGAACTATTCAACTGTGAAAAACAAAAATTTTTGTCTAATAGTTGACGTAAACCGTATAATATATTTTTCTATTAATTTGGTTTGTTACACGGCTACAACTCAAGTTATTCAAACTACACAGAACCAGTATAAACTGACCCTCGCAACTACGAAAATATCATACAAAGCAAACATGATAAACTGGTTTTGTATAGCACCATGTGTTTGAGTGAATAATTTTGGCGCATGTTCTTTGATTGATCCCTAATAACGGCTCGCTTATATTATAATATACTATGCTTATCTCAATATTAACCATTTCTTAGTAGCAATAGAGTAGAATTTCGCAGATAAAATTATTTTTGCGATGGTATTTAAGAAAGTGTGAGAGAAGTGGTCGAGTTTTCATTATTTTCATCTTTATTTGTATGTGTCGTAAGTTAAGCAAGGTCCGCCTTTCGCTAGATCTGTGCTAAATCTTAAGTTTAAATTTTATTTTCTTTTAATTTTAACATCTCAGAATGATTCGTAAGTATGTTACTAAGCTCAAAACTCAGGAATGACTGAACCGATTTTGATGATTCTTTTTTTTGTTTGTTAATATTAGAAGAAGGTTGTAAAAGAAAAAGAAAAGAAGTGTTATAACGTTAATTATGTAAATCATCGCTAAAATAATGTGTCTGTACACAAAAAGACAAAAAAATAAGGTTCTTTAAAATTTTTGGGTGTGTTGTGGTGCCACTTGATAAATCCACATTCACTGGTTTAATTGCATTTACTGTGTATCGATGTAAATTATTATAACGCAATAAATTGTTTTAAGGACCATATTGTATTGTTTTATTATTAACTAAATTGTCAACTTCTCTTCATCAGACCGTTTTTGTCCACTGCTGGACGAACAGCGCTTTTCCATCGACAACTTGCATTTGTTAAAATAGAAACAAATAATTGCCTCGTTGGCCGAGTGGTCGCAAGTGCGACTGCCTTGCAAAGGGTCTCGGGTTCGATTCCCGGGTCGGGCAAAGTATTACTAGGTTTAAAAAAAACTCGGTAGGTATATGGCAATAAGCTCATCCCCTATTACATGGGACCCATCACATAAAATAATAGTGAAAAGTGGGTGATTCCCGCACGGAACAACACTTTGTGTGATCCACAAATTGTTGTTTCGGGTCTCGGTGTCATGTGTATGTGAACTTGTATGTTTGCAAACGCATCCACGACACAGGGGAAAATTCTAGTGTGGGGCAACGTTTAAAAAAAAAATATTTTCGTATTAGTATTAAGTTTTACTTAAAACGAAGAGTTATTAATCCCAGTCTACCGAAACGCTAATCTAAGGAGAACAAGATGAAGGATACACTAGTTATGTATCAAATCAACACTTAGCTGAGAATACATCTTACCTTCCCTTTCTCTACCTCATGTGATGATTGAGAGGTTTTTTTATGGTATAAAATGGTAAACGAGCAGACTAATCACTTGATGGTAAGCAATCCGCGTCGCCCATGGACACCCGCAACACCAGAGGCGTTACAAGTGCGTTACCGGTCTATTGGGGATTAGGAATTGAGGATTTGGGGATTCAGTCATCCCAAAATCCCAATACCAATACACCTCCCGGTAATTGGGCTTCCGGTAGCCTCACTCACAATAGAACGCAAGCGTTGTTTCACGTCGGTTTTCTGTGAAGCCGTGGTATCACTCCGGTCGAGCCGGCCCATTCGTGCTAAAGCATGGCTCTTCCACGCTTAAAAAGGTACTACATGATGAGAATAAAGAGGTTTATATGTTTGTAACAGTGATACCTATACTTCTACCAAACCCTGAACAATCAGAGGAACGTTTAAAAACGAAATCTTATACTTTTAATTACCCTCTATTATCACGAACACGACACAATTCACAAGCTTTACGTAATATTGGTAAACATTCATACAACAATTTCCGGCGGTTCTGTCCTATTTAGTGCGGCCTCAACATCGCCTCGACAGAGTGCATGTTAATTACTTAATACTCCGCTAGAGGCCGCCGTTGCATGTTCCAACTTCGAATACAAATAATACGTTCCACATCGGCAATTAAGTACATAAAGTAATTATGAGGTGGTAAAATCTTTATTGACTTAGCTCCCTTACGCACTAGCGGCTAACCGCGCGGCTAGTGGCATCATGCGGTTGGTCGCTTTTACAATTCTACATAATTATATCCAACAGCGATACGCTAAGGCAACCGCGTCAGGCGATGCGAACCGCCTAGGCGGTTAACTGCTATATACTTTATACTTTAGCCATGCACCAGACTTATATATAGATATTCTTGAATAATACCTTCCTATACTTACCCCAACCTGGGAATTGAACATGGGACGATAGTTGTATTTGCGATCACTCGAACAACGAGGAAGTTAGCAATGATATCGTTACAAAACCGTGTTCATAACTACATAAATTATTATTATATTTTTGACAGACCAGTATTAAAATAAGTGCAAAATTGACAAGGGCAAGAATAAATCGAGGCGAACATGTCTGCAAACAAGATTTTGTTCCTTTTTAGGTCACATCCCTGCTACGCCGTAGCCACTTGCTACGCCGTAGATATTCCCGTAGCGAATACTCGTCGATTACGGGAATTTAGTAGTACCATTTTGGTTGAATTTCACAGACATATTGACTCAATTTCCAAATTCTGTGACATATGATTGGGAATATAACGAATTCTTTAATTTCTCAAAATCTTAGTATAAGATGCCTGATCCTATATCTTTTTATCAGTCGCGGAGAACCTAACGGGTTACCGGGGCTCCGGCTCGACGTGCAGGAGAAGGAACGGGGTGGCTTTTAGTCAGTAAGAGTCTGACACTCCCTCCCGCCTCACCCAGGTGGGAGAACCCATTCGATG